TAGACAGGGTCAGTCAGTCAGTGGGTTAGACAGGGTCAGTTGGTCAGTGGGTTAGACAGGGTCAGTCAGTGGGTTAGACTGGGTCAGTCAGTGGGTTAGTCAGGGTCAGTCAGTGGGTTAGACAGGGTCAGTCAGTTAGTGGGTTAGACAGGGTCAGTCAGTCAGTGGGTTAGACAGGGTCAGTCAGTGGGTTAGACTGGGTCAGTCAGTGGGTTAGACAGGGTCAGTCAGTGGGTTAGACAGGGTCAGTCAGTGGGTTAGACAGGGTCAGTCAGTGGGTTAGACAGGGTCAGTCAGTGGGTTAGACAGGGTCAGTCAGTCAGTGGGTTAGACAGGGTCAGTCAGTTAGTGGGTTAGACAGGGTCAGTCAGTGGGTTAGACAGGGTCAGTCAGTGGGTTAGACAGGGTCAGTCAGTGGGTTAGACTGGGTCAGTCAGTCAGTGGGTTAGACAGGGTCAGTCAGTGGGTTAGACTGGGTCAGTCAGTCAGTGGGTTAGACAGGGTCAGTCAGTGGGTTAGACAGGGTCAGTCAGTGGGTTAGACAGGGTCAGTCAGTGGGTTAGACAGGGTCAGTCAGTGGGTTAGACAGGGTCAGTCAGTCAGTGGGTTAGACAGGGTCAGTCAGTCAGTGGGTTAGACAGGGTCAGTCAGTTAGTGGGTTAGACAGGTTCAGTCAGTCAGTGGGTTAGACAGGGTCAGTCAGTGGGTTAGACAGGGTCAGTCAGTCAGTGGGTTAGACTGGGTCAGTCAGTGGGTTAGACTGGGTCAGTCAGTGGGTTAGACAGGGTCAGTCAGTGTGTTAGACAGGGTCAGTCAGTCAGTGGGTTAGACAGGGTCAGTCAGTGGGTTAGACTGGGTCAGTCAGTGGGTTAGACAGGGTCAGTCAGTGTGTTAGACAGGGTCAGTCAGTCAGTGGGTTAGACAGGGTCAGTCAGTGGGTTAGACTGGGTCAGTCAGTCAGTGGGTTAGACAGGGTCAGTTAGTCAGTGGGTTAGACTGGGTCAGTCAGTCAGTGGGTTAGACTGGGTCAGTCAGTGTGTTAGACTGGGTCAGTCAGTCAGTGGGTTAGACAGGGTCAGTTAGTCAGTGGGTTAGACAGGGTCAGTCAGTGGGTTAGACAGGGTCAGTCAGTCAGTGGGTTAGACTGGGTCAGTCAGTGGGTTAGACAGGGTCAGTTAGTGGGTTAGACAGGGTCAGTCAGTGGGTTAGACTGGGTCAGTCAGTCAGTGGGTTAGACTGGGTCAGTCAGTGTGTTAGACTGGGTCAGTCAGTCAGTGGGTTAGACAGGGTCAGTTAGTCAGTGTGTTAGACTGGGTCAGTCAGTCAGTGGGTTAGACAGGGTCAGTTAGTCAGTGGGTTAGACAGGGTCAGTCAGTGGGTTAGACTGGGTCAGTCAGTCAGTGGGTTAGACAGGGTCAGTCAGTGGGTTAGACTGGGTCAGTCAGTGGGTTAGACAGGGTCAGTCAGTGGGTTAGACAGGGTCAGTCAGTCAGTGGGTTAGACAGGGTCAGTCAGTGTGTTAGACAGGGTCAGTCAGTCAGTGGGTTAGACAGGGTCAGTCAGTGGGTTAGACTGGGTCAGTCAGTCAGTGGGTTAGACTGGGTCAGTCAGTCAGTGGGTTAGACTGGGTCAGTCAGTCAGTGTGTTAGACAGGGTCAGTCAGTCAGTGGGTTAGACAGGGTCAGTCAGTGGGTTAGACAGGGTCAGTCAGTCAGTGGGTTAGACTGGGTCAGTCAGTCAGTGGGTTAGACAGGGTCAGTCAGTGGGTTAGACTGGGTCAGTCAGTCAGTGGGTTAGACTGGGTCAGTCAGTGTGTTAGACTGGGTCAGTCAGTCAGTGGGTTAGACAGGGTCAGTTAGTCAGTGGGTTAGACAGGGTCAGTCAGTGGGTTAGACAGGGTCAGTCAGTCAGTGGGTTAGACTGGGTCAGTCAGTGGGTTAGACAGGGTCAGTTAGTGGGTTAGACAGGGTCAGTCAGTGGGTTAGACTGGGTCAGTCAGTCAGTGGGTTAGACTGGGTCAGTCAGTGTGTTAGACTGGGTCAGTCAGTCAGTGGGTTAGACAGGGTCAGTTAGTCAGTGTGTTAGACTGGGTCAGTCAGTCAGTGGGTTAGACAGGGTCAGTTAGTCAGTGGGTTAGACAGGGTCAGTCAGTGGGTTAGACTGGGTCAGTCAGTCAGTGGGTTAGACAGGGTCAGTCAGTGGGTTAGACTGGGTCAGTCAGTGGGTTAGACAGGGTCAGTCAGTGGGTTAGACAGGGTCAGTCAGTCAGTGGGTTAGACAGGGTCAGTCAGTCAGTGGGTTAGACAGGGTCAGTCAGTGTGTTAGACAGGGTCAGTCAGTCAGTGGGTTAGACAGGGTCAGTCAGTGGGTTAGACTGGGTCAGTCAGTCAGTGGGTTAGACTGGGTCAGTCAGTCAGTGGGTTAGACTGGGTCAGTCAGTCAGTGTGTTAGACAGGGTCAGTCAGTCAGTGGGTTAGACAGGGTCAGTCAGTCAGTGGGTTAGACAGGGTCAGTCAGTCAGTGGGTTAGACAGGGTCAATCAGTGGGTTAGACAGGGTCAGTCAGTGGGTTAGACAGGGTCAGTCAGTCAGTGGGTTAGACAGGGTCAGTCAGTGTGTTAGACAGGGTCAGTCAGTCAGTGGGTTAGACTGGGTCAGTCAGTGGGTTAGACAGGGTCAGTCAGTCAGTGGGTTAGACAGGGTCAGTCAGTGGGTTAGACAGGGTCAGTCAGTCAGTGGGTTAGACAGGGTCAGTCAGTCAGTGGGTTAGACTGGGTCAGTCAGTGGGTTAGACAGGGTCAGTCAGTGTGTTAGACAGGGTCAGTCAGTCAGTGGGTTAGACAGGGTCAGTCAGTGTGTTAGACAGGGTCAGTCAGTCAGTGGGTTAGACAGGGTCAGTCAGTCAGTGGGTTAGACTGGGTCAGTCAGTCAGTGGGTTAGACAGGGTCAGTCAGTGTGTTAGACAGGGTCAGTCAGTCAGTGGGTTAGACAGGGTCAGTCAGTGGGTTAGACTGGGTCAGTCAGTCAGTGGGTTAGACTGGGTCAGTCAGTGGGTTAGACAGGGTCAGTCAGTCAGTGTTAGACAGGGTCAGTCAGTCAGTGGGTTAGACATGGTCAGTCAGTGGGTTAGACTGGGTCAGTCAGTCAGTGGGTTAGACAGGGTCAGTCAGTGGGTTAGACAGGGTCAGTCAGTCAGTGGGTTAGACAGGGTCAGTCAGTGGGTTAGACAGGGTCAGTCAGTCAGTGGGTTAGACTGGGTCAGTCAGTGGGTTAGACAGGGTCAGTCAGTGGGTTAGACTGGGTCAGTCAGTGGGTTAGACAGGGTCAGTCAGTGGGTTAGACTGGGTCAGTCAGTCAGTGGGTTAGACAGGGTCAGTTAGTCAGTGGGTTAGACAGGGTCAGTCAGTCAGTGGGTTAGACAGGGTCAGTCAGTGGGTTAGACAGGGTCAGTCAGTGGGTTAGACAGGGTCAGTCAGTGGGTTAGACAGGGTCAGTCAGTGGGTTAGACAGGGTCAGTCAGTGGGTTAGACAGGGTCAGTCAGTGGGTTAGACAGGGTCAGTCAGTGGGTTAGACAGGGTCAGTCAGTGGGTTAGACAGGGTCAGTCAGTGGGTTAGACAGGGTCAGTCAGTCAGTGGGTTAGACAGGGTCAGTCAGTCAGTGGGTTAGACAGGGTCAGTCAGTCAGTGGGTTAGACAGGGTCAGTCAGTGGGTTAGACAGGGTCAGTCAGTGGGTTAGACTGGGTCAGTCAGTCAGTGGGTTAGACAGGGTCAGTCAGTGGGTTAGACTGGGTCAGTCAGTGGGTTAGACAGGGTCAGTCAGTCAGTGGGTTAGACTGGGTCAGTCAGTGGGTTAGACAGGGTCAGTCAGTGGGTTAGACAGGGTCAGTCAGTGGGTTAGACAGGGTCAGTCAGTGGGTTAGACAGGGTCAGTCAGTGGGTTAGACAGGGTCAGTCAGTCAGTGGGTTAGACTGGGTCAGTCAGTGGGTTAGACAGGGTCAGTCAGTTAGTGGGTTAGACAGGGTCAGTCAGTGGGTTAGACAGGGTCAGTCAGTCAGTGGGTTAGACAGGGTCAGTCAGTCAGTGGGTTAGACAGGGTCAGTCAGTGGGTTAGACAGGGTCAGTCAGTCAGTGGGTTAGACTGGGTCAGTCAGTGGGTTAGACAGGGTCAGTCAGTCAGTGGGTTAGACAGGGTCAGTCAGTCAGTGGGTTAGACAGGGTCAGTCAGTCAGTGGGTTAGACAGGGTCAGTCAGTCAGTGGGTTAGACAGGGTCAGTCAGTGGGTTAGACAGGGTCAGTCAGTCAGTGGGTTAGACAGGGTCAGTCAGTCAGTGGGTTAGACTGGGTCAGTCAGTGGGTTAGACAGGGTCAGTCAGTCAGTGGGTTAGACAGGGTCAGTCAGTCAGTGGGTTAGACAGGGTCAGTCAGTGGGTTAGACAGGGTCAGTCAGTGGGTTAGACTGGGTCAGTCAGTGGGTTAGACAGGGTCAGTCAGTGGGTTAGACAGGGTCAGTCAGTCAGTGGGTTAGACAGGGTCAGTCAGTGTGTTAGACAGGGTCAGTAAGTGGGTTAGACAGGGTCAGTCAGTGGGTTAGACAGGGTCAGTCAGTGGGTTAGACAGGGTCAGTCAGTCAGTGGGTTAGACAGGGTCAGTCAGTCAGTGGGTTAGACAGGGTCAGTCAGTTAGTGGGTTAGACTGGGTCAGTCAGTCAGTGGGTTAGACAGGGTCAGTTAGTCAGTGGGTTAGACAGGGTCAGTTAGTCAGTGGGTTAGACAGGGTCAGTCAGTGGGTTAGACTGGGTCAGTCAGTGGGTTAGACAGGGTCAGTCAGTCAGTGGGTTAGACAGGGTCAGTCAGTGGGTTAGACTGGGTCAGTCAGTGGGTTAGACTGGGTCAGTCAGTGGGTTAGACTGGGTCAGTCAGTGGGTTAGACAGGGTTTGCCCATATTCACCTTTAATTTGGTGAGAAGAAAGTTAACAAGAGATCATGTACTAACTCAATGTTCCCTGCATGCATTCACCTGGATTTATTGCTTACAGGGATTCGAAGTGTTGCTAGAACTCTGTCACTACTGGCCATGAAAAAGTGTGCGGTCAAGAGCTCCTCACCTCCTTTGGTCCATCAGATCTCCAGTATCTTGTCACCTGTCAACCAGAAGTACCTGGCCAGTAAAGGATATTACAGACAACAGGTGAGCATCCTCCTGGTGCTAGTCTACTCATCCTCCCAGTGCTAGTCTACTGATCCTCCCAGTGCTAGTCTACTCATCCTCCCAGTGCTAGTCTACTGATCCTCCCAGTGCTAATGTACTCATCCTCCCAGTGCTAGTCTACTCATCCTCCCAGTGCTAGTCTACTCATCCTACCAGTGCTAGTCTACTCATCCTCCCAGTGCTAATGTACTCATCCTCTTGGTGCTAGTCTACTCATCCTCCCAGTGCTAGTCTACTCATCCTCCCAGTGCTAATGTACTCATCCTCCTGGTGCTAGTCTACTGATCCTCCTGGTGCTAGTCTACTCATCCTCCCAGTGCTAGTCTACTCATCCTCCCAGCGCTAGTCTACTCATCCTCCCAGTGCTAGTCTACTCATCCTCCCAGTGCTAGTCTACTCATCCTCCCAGTGCTAGTCTACTCATCCTCCCAGTGCTAGTCTAATCCTCCCAGTGCTAGTCTACTCATCCTCCCAGTGCTAATGTACTCATCCTCCCAGTGCTAGTCTACTCATCCTCCCAGTACTCATCCTCCCAGTGCTAGTCTACTCATCCTCCCAGTGCTAGTCTACTCATCCTCCCAGTGATAGTCTACCCATCCTCCCAGTGCTAGTCTAATCATCCTCCCAGTGCTAGTCTAATCATCCTCCTAGTGCTAGTCTAATCATCCTCCCAGTGCTAGTCTACTCATCCTCCCAGTGCTAGTCTACTCATCCTCCCAGTGCTAGTCTACTCATCCTCCCAGTGCTAGTCTACTCATCCTCCCAGTGCTAGTCTACTCATCCTCCCAGTGCTAGTCTAATCCTCCCAGTGCTAGTCTACTCATCCTCCCAGTGCTAGTCTAATCCTCCCAGTGCTAATCTACTCATCCTCCCAGTGCTAGTCTACTCATCCTTCTGGTGCTAGACTACTCATCCTCCCAGTGCTAGTCTACTCCCAGTGATAGTCTACTCATCCTCCTGGTGCTAGTCTACTCATCCTCCCAGTGCTAGTCTACTCATCCTCCCAGTGCTAGTCTACTGATCCTCCCAGTGCTAATGTACTCATCCTCCCAGTGCTAGTCTACTCATCCTCCCAGTGCTAGTCTACTCATCCTCCCAGTGCTAGTCTACTCCCAGTGATAGTCTACTCATCCTCTGGTGCTAGTCTACTCATCCTCCCAGTGCTCATCCTCCTGGTGATAGTCTACTCATCCTCCCAGTGCTAGTGTACTCATCCTCCCAGTGCTAGTCTACTCATTCTCCCAACAGGACATTTATTGATTGTAATATTTGTACAGGGTTGGCCTAAAGGCACATTTATTGATGCTGATGATGAAAGTGCAGATGAATGTGCTGATGCTGCATCTCGTAGAAAAAACTTCCAGAAAACTAGACGCCATTGGAGTATGTGTGATTCAAATGAGCAGAAGGAGGAGTGGGCTGAAGAGAGGAGAGACCCTCACCTGAGCACCACCACGGAGTCCTCTACAGACAGTTTGGATACACCTAACCCAGAAACAGAGAAAGCTTTTGAAGAGATCCGTCGCCAGTACAATGCCAGCTTGAGTAAAAGGTCTCTGTCTGCGGAGGATTTGTTCCTGCCTGCCAGTGAGCTCAAGCCCAACTACTTTATTTCCCCAGCCAGCTCACGGCAAGCCACAGTAGAAAAATGTCCCACTCTAAAGGAGCAGAGCAGTGCTGATGGGGACAAGAAACACAATGATAAAAATAACAATCAGAGCACTGAACTGGATGGGAGTACCAATGTGGAGATCGTTGTATCTGGGCCAGGTACAGACCAAACTGGGCTGGGAGCAGACCAACGCTGGGAAAAGTCACCTTTTAACCTGAGTGTTGCCACCATCTATAGAGCTTCATCTGACTCGGGCTCCACCAGCAGCAGTGGAACCGCTGTTGGCAGTTTGAGTGTTGCCACGGCAACAGATAACCTGGATGCACATCATTTGAGTGCATTCCTAGTGGATGAGCCAGATGATCTGAGACAACGTTGCTCACGAGGTTGCCAGACTGAGCTCATCCCTCAGCCACGCCCAGCAGGGAGTCAAGTGAAACTCTCTGCCCTTCCACCATCCATTAATCCACTGGAACTGATGAAAAGATTACAGCACTCTCAAGGTAGGTGGCTACAAACACACACACACACACACACACACACACATGCTCACACTCACTTAGCTCCAGTCCTTAGGTCCAGTCAGGTCCAGTCCTTAGGTCCAGTCCTTAGGTCCAGTCCTTAGGTCCAGTCAGGTCCAGTTCTTAGGTCCAGTCCTTAGGTCCAGTCCTTAGGTCCAGTCCTTAGGTCCAGATCTTAGGTCCAGTCAGGTCCAGTCAGGTCCAGTCCTTAGGTCCAGTCCTTAGGTCCAGATCTTAGGTCCAGTCCTTAGGCCCAGTCAGGTCCAGTCAGGTCCAGTCCTTAGGTCCAGTCCTTAGGTCCAGTCCTTAGGTCCAGATCTTAGGTCCAGTCCTTAGGCCCAGTCAGGTCCAGTCAGGTCCAGTCCTTAGGTCCAGTCCTTAGGTCCAGTCCTTAGGTCCAGCCCTTAGGTCCAGTCCTTAGGTCCAGTCAGGTCCAGTCCTTAGCTCCAGTCAGGTCCAATCCTTAGGTCCAGTCCTTAGCTCCAGTCCTTAGCTCCAGTCAGGTCCAATCCTTAGGTCCAATCCTTAGCTCCAGTCAGGTCCAGTCCTTAGCTCCAGTCAGGTCCAGTCCTTAGGTCCAGTCCTTAGGCCCAGTCAGGTCCAGTCCTTAGGTCCAGTCAGGTCCAATCCTTAGGTCCAGTCCTTAGGTCCAGACCTTAGGTCCAGTCCTTAGGTCCAGTCAGGTGCAGATCTTAGCTCCAGTCCTTAGGCCCAGTCAGGTCCAGTCAGCTCCAGTCCTTAGCTCCAGTCCTTAGCTCCAGTCAGGTCCAGTCCTTAGCTCCAGTCCTTAGGTCCAGTCCTTAGCTCCAGTCAGGTCCAGTCCTTAGCTCCAGTCCTTAGGTCCAGTCAGGTCCAGTCCTTAGGTCCAGTCCTTAGCTCCAGTCCTTAGGTCCAGTCAGGTCCAGTCCTTAGCTCCAGTCCTTAGCTCGAGTCCTTAGCTCTAGTCCTTAGCTCCAGTCCTTAGGTCCAGTCAGGTCCAGTCCTTAGCTCCAGTCAGGTCCAGTCCTTAGGTCCAGTCCTTAGGTCCAGTCCTTAGGTCCAGTCCTTAGCTCCAGTCCCTAGGCCCAGTCAGGTCCAGTCAGCTCCAGTCCTTAGCTTCAGTCAGGTCCAGTCCTTAGCTCCAGTCAGGTCCAGTCCTTAGGTCCAGTCCTTAGCTCCAGTCCTTAGCTCCAGTCAGGTCCAGTCCTTAGGTCCAGTCCTTAGCTTCAGTCTTAGCTCCAGTCAGGTCCAGTCCTTAGCTCCAGTCCTTAGGTCCAGTCCTTAGGTCCAGTCAGTATGTATGTTGTAGGCCTTATATTCTCTCTGCCTAATGTTTGGATCCCACTTGCAAACATTGATTTTATTAGACCTAGAACAAAACCAACAAAACATGACATTAGGGCTCTTCCATTTATAAACATTCTTTAGCCATCAATAAGAAACGTTTTCAATATATTTACCATATAATCTATCTTCTGTCTTCTATATATATAATTCTCTTCTTGGAGACCCTAGAAAACACCAAGTTGTAAGCACACTCCCTACCACCCTAAGGTGTGCTGTTTTAAGGTGTGCTGTTTTAAGGTGTGCTGTTTTAAGGTGTGCTGTTTTACTGTGCGCTGTTTTACTGTGTGCTGTTTTAAGGTGTGCTGTTTTTAGGTGTGCTGTTTTAAGGTGTGCTGTTTTAAGGTGTGCTGTTTTAAGGTGTGCTGTTTTAAGGTGTGCTGTTTTAAGGTGTGCTGTTTTAAGGTGCCATTTTATTCACTTATAGCATATTGTATCCTGAATGTTAAGGTGTGCTGTTTTAAGGTGTGCTGTTTTAAGGTGTGCTGTTTTAAGGTGTGCTGTTTTAAGGTGTGCTGTTTTAAGGTGTGCTGTTTTAAGGTGTGCTGTTTTAAGGTGTGCTGTTTTAAGGTGTGCTGTTTTAAGGTGTGCTGTTTTAAGGTGTGCTGTTTTAAGGTGTGCTGTTTTAAGGTGTGCTGTTTTAAGGTGTGCTGTTTTAAGGTGTGCTGTTTTAAGGTGTGCTGTTTTAAGGTGTGCTGTTTTAAGGTGTGCTGTTTTAAGGTGTGCTGTTTTAAGGTGTGCTGTTTTAAGGTGCCATTTTATTCACTTATAGCATATTGTATCCTGAATGTTTCTCGCTTGTAAATTGAGGAACTGTTCTATAAATACACATGGAACTTCACTGAGCTTTACTCAAGCCTAGGTCAGCTTGACCTCCTTATATCTCCAGCCTTTCTGTTTCTTAAGTCCAGATTTGTGTAGAGCTGTGGGTGTGCAAGATTTGTGTTGTGTAGGGCTGTGGATGTGCAATATTTGTGTTGTGTAGGGCTGTGGGTGTGCAAGATTTGTGTTGTGTAGAGCTGTGGACGTGCAAGATTTGTGTTGTGTAGAGCTGTGAATGTGCAAGATTTGTGTTGTGTAGGGCTGTGGATGTGCAAGATTTGTGTTGTGTAGGGCTGTGGACGTGCAAGATTTGTGTTGTGTAGAGCTGTGGATGTGCAAGATTTGTGTTGTGTAGAGCTGTGAATGTGCAAGATTTGTGTTGTGTAGGGCTGTAGAGGTGCAATATTTGTGTTGTGTAGAGCTGTGGATGTGCAAGATTTGTGTTGTGTAGGGCTGTAGAGGTGCAATATTTGTGTTGTGTAGGGCTGTAGAGGTGCAATATTTGTGTTGTGTAGAGCTGTGGATGTGCAAGATTTGTGTTGTGTAGAGCTGTGGATGTGCAAGATTTGTGTTGTGTAGGGCTGTAGAGGTGCAATATTTGTGTTGTGTAGAGCTGTGGATGTGCAAGATTTGTGTTGTGTAGAGCTGTGGATGTGCAAGATTTGTGTTGTGTAGGGCTGTGGACGTGCAAGATTTGTGTTGTGTAGAGCTGTGGATGTGCAAGATTTGTGTTGTGTAGAGCTGTGAATGTGCAAGATTTGTGTTGTGTAGGGCTGTAGAGGTGCAATATTTGTGTTGTGTAGAGCTGTGAATGTGCAAGATTTGTGTTGTGTAGGGCTGTGGATGTGCAAGATTTATGTTGTGTAGGGCTGTGGATGTGCAATATTTGTGTTGTGTAGAGCTGTGGATGTGCAAGATGTGTGTTGTGTAGAGCTGTGGGTGTGCAAGATTTGTGTTGTGTAGAGCTGTGGGTGTGCAAGATTTGTGTTGTGTAGAGCTGTGGATGTGCAAGATTTGTGTTGTGTAGAGCTGTGGATGTGCAAGATTTGTGTTGTGTAGAGCTGTGGATGTGCAAGATTTGTGTTGTGTAGAGCTGTGGATGTGCAAGATTTGTGTTGTGTAGAGCTGTGGATGTGCAAGATTTGTGTTGTGTAGAGCTGTGGATGTGCAAGATTTGTGTTGTGTAGAGCTGTGGATGTGCAAGATTTGTGTTGTGTAGAGCTGTGGATGTGCAAGATTTGTGTTGTGTAGAGCTGTGGATGTGCAAGATTTGTGTTGTGTAGAGCTGTGGATGTGCAAGATTTGTGTTGTGTAGAGCTGTGAATGTGCAAGATTTGTGTTGTGTAGGGCTGTGGATGTGCAAGATTTGTGTTGTGTAGGGCTGTGGATGTGCAAGATTTGTGTTGTGTAGGGCTGTGGATGTGCAAGATTTGTGTTGTGTAGGGCTGTGGATGTGCAAGATTTGTGTTGTGTCCACCACAGATGATAGCACATCAGACCATTTCACATAGATTGAGTTCTTTAGTATCATACATGGAGGCAACTAAAGGCCTGCCTGGTTGCTTACCATGTCTGCCTGACTGCTGCAAGAATTCTATTTTAGTCAATCCACTTCATGTTACTCCATCTTCTGTTGTTGTCACCCAGCCAGACTCATGCATCCAATGTAAGTCCATACCATCTCAGTTTTATGTAAGTCCATGCCATCTCAGTTTTATGTAAGTCCATACCATCTCAGTTTTATGTAAGTCCATGCCATCTCAGTTTTATGTAAGTCCATACTATCTCAGTTTTATGTAAGTCCATACTATCTCAGTTTTATGTAAGTCCATACCATCTCAGTTTTTGACAAGCTCAGGTTTTTTTTTTAACCTAGGGACCAAGCACTTTATTTATCTTTTTATGGGCCTTTTATTTTATTATCTCTTTTTGAAGAGTATTGGAAGCACTTATAAGACTGTAGTACTACCTTTAGCAGGATTTGAAGCACTTCTAAGACTGAAGTACTACCTTTAGCAGGATTTGAAGCACTTCTAAGACTGAAGTACTACCTTTAGCAGGATTTGAAGCACTTCTAAGACTGAAGTACTACCTTAAGCAGGATTTGAAGCACTTCTTAGACTGAAGTACTACCTTTAGCAGGATTTTAAGCACTTCTAAGACTGAAGTACTACCTTTAGCAGGATTTTAAGCACTTCTAAGACTGAAGTACTACCTTAAGCAGGATTTGAAGCACTTCTAAGACTGAAGTACTACCTTAAGCAGGATTTGAAGCACTTCTAAGACTGAAGTACTACCTTTAGCAGGATTTGAAGCACTTCTAAGACTGAAGTACTACCTTTAGCAGGATTTGAAGCACTTCTAAGACTGAAGTACTACCTTTAGCAGGATTTTAAGCACTTCTAAGACTGAAGTACTACCTTTAGCAGGATTTGAAGCACTTCTTAGACTGAAGTACTACCTTTAGCAGGATTTAAAGCACTTCTAAGACTGAAGTACTACCTTTAGCAGGATTTGAAGCACTTCTAAGACTGAAGTACTACCTTTAACAGGATTTAAAGCACTTCTAAGACTGAAGTACTACCTTTAGCAGGATTTGAAGCACTTCTAAGACTGAAGTACTACCATAAGCAGGATTTGAAGCACTTCTTAGACTGAAGTACTACCTTTAGCAGGATTTAAAGCACTTCTAAGACTGAAGTACTACATTTAGCAGGATTTGAAGCACTTCTAAGACTGAAGTACTACCTTTAGCAGGATTTGAAGCACTTCTAAGACTGAAGTACTACCTTAAGCAGAATTTGAAGCACTTCTTAGACTGAAGTACTACCTTTAGCAGGATTTGAAGCACTTCTAAGACTGAAGTACTACCTTAAGCAGGATTTGAAGCAATGTCTTATCACAGTACCAAGCCCTGTGGTTTGGCAACACATGCTTGTTGAAGTTCATGTGCAAACTCTTGGGCCCTGGCCACTGACCTTCACACTGGCCACTGACCTTCACACTGGCCACTGACCTTCACACTGGCCACTGACCTTCACACTGGCCACTGACCTTCACACTGGCCACTGACCTTCACAAGAAGGCCATGCACCCAGTGATGTCCTTTTAATATCAACCCCTCACATGGTTTGGTCCTCAAGCTTTTCCAGGTTAGGGAGCTTGTATCCATATGTTAGAGATTTAGGAGCTTGTATCCATATGTTAGAGATTTAGGCGCTTGTATCCATATGTTAGTGATTTAGGTGCTTGTATTTATATGTTAGAGATTTAGGCGCTTGTATCCATATGTTAGAGATTTTGGTGCATGTATCCATATGTTAGAGATTTAGGTGCATGTATCCATATGTTAGAGATTTAGGTGCTTGTATCCATATGTTAGAGATTTAGGCGCTTGTATCCATATGTTAGAGATTTAGGTGCATGTATCCATATGTTAGAGATTTAGGTGCATGTATCCATATGTTAGAGATTTAGGTGCTTGTATCCATATGTTAGAGATTTAGGTGCTTGTATCCATATGTTAGAGATTTAGGTGCTTGTATCCATATATTAGAGATTTAGGTGCTTGTATCCATATGTTAGAGACTTAGGCGCTTGTATCCATATGTTAGAGATTTAGGCGCTTGTATCCATATGTTAGAGATTTAGGTGCATGTATCCATATGTTAGAGATTTAGGTGCTTGTATCCATATGTTAGAGATTTTGATGCTTGTATCCATATGTTAGAGATTTATGTGCATGCATCCATATGTTAGAGATTTAGGTGCTTGTATCCATATGTTAGAGATTTAGGTGCTTGTATCCATATGTTAGAGATTTAGGTGCTTGTATCCATATGTTAGAGATTTTGATGCTTGTATCCATATGTTAGAGATTTAGGTGCTTGTATCCATATGTTAGAGATTTAGGTGCATGTATCCATATGTAAGAGATTTAGGTGCATGCATCCATATGTTAGAGATTTAGGTGCTTGTATCCATATGTTAGAGATTTAGGTGCTTGTATCCATATGTTAAAGATTTAGGTGCTTGTATCCATATGTTAGAGATTTAGGTGCTTGTATCCATATGTTAGAGATTTAGGTGCATGTATGCATATGTTAGAGATTTAGGTGCTTGTATCCATATGTTAAAGATTTAGGTGCTTGTATCCATATGTTAGAGATTTAGGTGCTTGTATGCATATGTTAGAGATTTAGGTGCTTGTATCCATATGTTAGAGATTTAGGTGCTTGTATCCATATGTTAGAGATTTAGGTGCATGTATGCATATGTTAGAGATTTAGGTGCATGTATCCATATGTTAGAGATTTAGGTGCATGCATCCATATGTTAGAGATTTAGGTGCTTGTATCCATATGTTAGAGATTTAGGTGCATGTATCCATATGTTAGAGATTTAGGTGCTTGTATGCATATGTTAGAGATTTAGGTGCTTGTATCCATATGTTAGAGATTTAGGTGCTTGTATCCATATGTTAAAGATTTAGGTACTTGTATCCATATGTTAGAGATTTAGGTGCATGTATGCATATGTTAGAGATTTAGGTGCATGTATCCATATGTTAGAGATTTAGGTGCATGTATCCATATGTTAGAGATTTAGGTGCATGTATCCATATGTTAGAGATTTAGGTGCATGTATCCATATGTTAGAGATTTAGGTGCATGTATGCATATGTTAGAGATTTAGGTGCTTGTATCCATATGTTAGAGATTTAGGTGCATGTATGCATATGTTAAAGATTTAGGTGCTTGGAGCCAAAGATATATATGTGACTGGAGATTTTGGCATTTGGTGCCACATGTTAGGCGCTTAGAGCCACTTGTTAGATTGTGTCATTGATTTGGCTATTATGTTATATTAATGGTGTCATTGATTTGGCCATTATGTTCTGTAAATTTTGTCATTGATTTGGCCATAATTTTCTGCTAATTATGTCGTTGAATAAATTAGTTTAAGAACACAGGGTCGAATCTCTAAAAATAGTTAATTGGCTGTTTAAAAATAGAAAATTGGCTGTCTAAAAATAGAAAATTGCCATCCCATTGCTTGAAAGACTTGAAAAAGTTTTGCCCATCTTAGTTTAGGAGAAAGTGACAGGGTAGTGTAATAATAAATGTAGGTGTATGTCTCTCTTGTATGCATTACTACACCATTCTTCCTTTAGGCCATGACACCTGGACAGGTAGTTGAGTCCACTCAAAGGAAGATTTCTGCCATAATATCATTAAATGTGGTTTGATTTGTGTGTAATGATTGAATGCATATTGATTGGTGTGTAATGATTGAATGTGTATTGATTGGTGTGTAATGATTGAATGTGTATTGATTGGTGTGTAATGATTGAAAATGTATTGATTGGTGTGTGATGATTGAATGCATATTGATTGGTGTGTAATGATTGAATGCATATTGATTGGTGTGTAATGATTGAAAATGTATTGATTGGTGTGTAATGGTTGAAAATGTATTGATTGGTGTGTAATGATTGAAAATGTATTGATTGGTGTGTAATGATTGAATGCATATTGATTGGTGTGTAATGATTGAAAATGTATTGATTGGTGTGTAATGATTGAAAATGTATTGATTGGTGTGTAATGATTGAATGCATATTGATTGGTGTGTAATGATTGAAAATGTATTGATTGGTGTGTAATGATTGAAAATGTATTGATTGGTGTGTAATGATTGAAAATGTATTGATTGGTGTGTAATGATTGAAAGTGTATTGATTGGTGTGTAATGATTGAATGCATATTGATTGGTGTGTAATGATTGAAAATGTATTGATTGGTGTGTAATGATTGAATGCATATTGATTGGTGTGTAATGATTGAATGCATATTGATTGGTGTGTAATGATTGAATGCATATTGATTGGGGTGTAATGATTGAATGCATTTTGGTTGGTGTGTAATGATTGAAAATGTATTGATTGGTGTGTAATGATTGAATGCATATTGATTTGTGTGTAATGATTGAATGTGTATTAATTGGTGTGTAATGATTGAATGTGTATTGATTGGTGTGTAATGATTGAAAATGTATTGATTGGTGTGTAATGATTGAAAATGTATTGATTGGTGTGTAATGATTCAAAATGTATTGAATGGTGTGTAATGATTCAAAATGTATTGATTAGTGTGTAATGATTGAATGCATATTGATTGGTGTGTAATGATTGAAAATGTATTGATTGGTGTGTAATGATTGAAAATGTATTGATTTGTCTGTAATGATTGAAAATGTATTGATTGTCGTGTAATGATAGAATGTGTAATGATTGGTGTGTAATGATAGAATTCATATTGATTGGCGTGTAATGATTATCTTTATAGATGAACTGACCAGGATGGGGAGTATTCAATCAGACAGCAGTGGCTTCTATGATACAGAAGAAGACATTAATAAGGTACAGAACTCTTCCACACACAAACCCCACACACACTTCCACACACAACCCCCACACACACTTCCACACACAAACCCCACACACACTTCCACACACAACCCCCACACACAACTCTTCCACACACAACCCACACACACACTTCCACACAAAGCCACACACAACCCCCACACACAACTCTTCCACACACAACCCCCACACACACTTCCACACAACCCCACACACAACCCCCACACACAACTCTTCCACACACAACCCCCACACACAACTCTTCCACACAACTCTTCCACACAACCCCCACACACAACACTAGCACACACAACTCTTCCACACACAGCTCTTCCACACACAACCCCCACACAGAACACTTCCACACACAACTCTTCCACACACAACTCTTCCACACACAGCTCTTCCACACACAACTCTTGCACACACAACCCCCACACACAACTCTTGCACACACAACCCCCACTCACAACTCTTCCACACAACTCTTCCACACACAACTCTTCCACACACAACCCCCACACCCAATTCTTCCACACACAACCCCCACACACACAGCACTTCCAGACACAACTCTTTCACACACAATCCCTATACACAACCCCACATACAACTCTTCCACACACAACCTTCACACACAACTCTTACACACACAACTCTTACACACACAACTCTTACACACACAACTCTTACACACACAACTCTTACACACACAACTCTTACACACACAATCCCTATACACAATCCCCACACACAACTCTTCCACACAACTCTTCCACACACAACCCCCACACACAACTCTTACACACACACCTCTTCCACACACAACTCTTCCACACACAACCCCCACACACAACTCTTACACACACAACTCTTACACACACAACTCTTACACACACAACCCCCACACACAACTCTTCAATTTACAACTTTTCCACTCACAACCCCCATACACAACCCCCACTCACAACCCCCATACACAACCCCCACACACATCTCTTTCACACACAACCCCCACTCACAACCCCCACACACAACTCTTACACACATAACTCTTATTCCCACAACTCTTACACACACAACCCCCACATACAACTCTTCAACTTACAACTTTTCCACTCACAACCCCTATACACAACCCCCACACACAACTCTTCCACACACAACCCCCACTCACAACCCCCATACACAACCCCCATACACAACCCCCACACACAACTCTTACACACACAACCCCCACACACAACTCTTACACACACAACCCCCACACACAACTCTTCAATTTACAACTTTTCCACTCACAACCCCCATACACAACCCCCACTCACAACCCCCATACACAACCCCCACTCACAACCCCCATACACAACCCCCACACACAACTCTTCCACACACAACCCCCACTCACAACCCCCACACACAACTCTTCCACACACAACCCCCACACACAACTCTTACACACACAACTCTTCAATTTACAACTTTTCCACGCACAACCCCCATACACAACCCCCATACACAACCCCCACTCACAACCCCCATACACAACTCTTCCTTACAACTCTTCCTCACAACTCTACCACTCAACACCCCCACACACAACTTTTTCACACAACACCCCCACACACAACTCTTCCACACACAACCCCCACTCACAACCCCCATACACAACCCCCACACACAACTCTTCCTTACAACTCTTCCTCACAACTCTACCACTCAACACCCCCACACACAACTTTTTCACACAACACCCCCACACACAACTTTTTCACACAACACCCCCACACACAACTCTTCCTCACAGAATTCCTCTTCTTTCGGTCACAATTAAATCTATTTATATCTCCTGTATCCAGGGTTCCCATTTAAGATTAAATGGAAAAAAGGCTTCAATGCTTGCCTGTAAGTCAAAACAAGAAATAGCAACACAAACAGTGGATGTATCCCAGGTTTGTATTTGGCTTATCTTTAGAGTTATTGAAATAGTAGTATTATATTATAAAGAAAATTGTTTATTTTTCCTTTATTTTTTATGCATGTTTTAGATTTTGCACCTAAAACAACCAAATAAGAAAGGAAAAATAAAAACTTAAGCCTGAAAATAATTGAGAAATATGTTTAGAATCTATGTTATAGAAGTAGCTAATGCAGAGAACTTGAAAACGCCGGTTTTGGAATTTAAAGTCTTTCCATTATAAATTTAAATGATAAACAGTACCAAAAAATTTGGTTCATGGGCAGAGACATGATAGGAACTTACCACCAGTCCAACAATACCAGTTTAGTTCTTTTTTAATATACAATTTTATATACTGACTGCCCAACTGGGTCACTTGGGGCCTGGAGATTTAAGGCCAGACAGATAAAGCAGTTCCAAAGGGTTAAGACAAACTTTACTTGGCTGGACAAGAAATGAAAACTCCACTTCATAAAAAACTCAGTAATTTGTAGGGCTACTCAAAATTTTACCGATTCAATTTTAAAATTTAATTTTCTTAAACCACCAGACCTAGTTTAGCTTTTTTTGTTTTCAATTTCTGTGATAAATGTAAACCATCAAGTTGTTTTTGACTATTGTACATGATATATTGTACATGATATATTGTACATGATATATTGTACATGATTTTTAAAGTATTGAATGGACCTTCTAAATAACTTTAAGACTATTGTCGGTTGAGTCTCTTATGAAGTTGGGATTTCCAACCCCACAAAGTATACTTGTCAACTGGTTATGTGGCATGTAGGCAAGTGACCTCCCATTTCAGCCTACTTTTTTCTTTGTGGATTGACTTGAATAGCCTTTGTTCAACAAAGATCAAACTATAAGACAGAAGTTGTTTCATTTTGGAGTTTTCACTCTTAGATGAGTCTCAAGGTATTCCAGCTTTGGATTTTACTGACCCTCCATACATCCCTTTAATAGGTTCCAATATTCAAATAGAGTAGTCAAGCTGGTCCATTTGTTTTGACCCCATAATATGACATTTCTGACCCCATAAAATGACATTTCTGACCCCATAATATGACATTTCTGACCCCATAATATGACATTTCTGACCCCATAATATGACATTTCTGACCCCATAATATGACATTTCTGACAATCGGGTACTTTTCCAAAGCTATCTCTGTACCATGTTTTGGTCATATGTGCTAGTGGTTGATCCAAGACTTATATAGAGATATCTTTAGAGATATATTTAGAGATATATTTAGAGACATAAATAAAGATATCTTAATAGATATCTTTAGATATATTTAGAGATATATTTAGAAGCATATATAGAGGTATCTTGAGAGATATTTAGAGATATATTTAGAGACATTAATAAAGATATCTTAAGAGATATCATATATTTCTACCTATTGAAGGTGAAAAGATAGAGCTACATGGTCTGACCATAGTTCACATGGTCTGACCATAGTTCACATGGTCTGACCATAGTTCACATGGCCTGACCACAGTTCACATGGTCTGACCACAGTTCACATGGTCTGTTTCTTATTTTACAGAATGTTCACACAGAGCCAGCCAGCTATATGACAAGGGAACCAGCCAACTTTATCACAACTTGTTTCATTCCTTCTGTTCAGCCTAGTTTCATTCCTTCTGTTCAGCCTAGTTCTCTGTCTGAGCATAGACAAGTGTTTGGTGAGCCTCAGTCAAGAGATGCTGTCCACTCTGATATGAGCCAATGGGGCCCATGCCAGTCCAGATGTGCTGGCCCTGTCAGGAACTTGAGACCTCTATCTGTAGAGTTGGCCCAGGCCACATCAGCTGCACCATCAGCTGCACCATCAGCTGCACACAGCTCTGTCTTGTCCAGTCTCTTCATACAACCTGCTGCCAATAGCCACACCACTCAATTCCCTCCCCCTGCCACCAGTAGCCACACCACTCAGTTCCCTCCCCCTGCCACCAGTAGCCACACCACTCAGTTCCCTCCCCCTGCCACCAGTAGCCACACCACTCAGTTCCCTCCCCCTGCCACCAGTAGCCACATCACTCAGTTCCCGGCCACCAATAGCCACACCACTCAGTTCCCTCCCCTTGCTGGCAACTTACGAGGCCTGACCTCTCACAGCACACCTCGTCATCTAGAGAGCCAACGCTCGTGTGACATCCTGGAGGATGACATCAGTGAGATTTTCCAGACTTGCAGTGAGGGCTGGCACCCAGCTAGATGTTCCCTGCACTACTGTCATTCTCTGCCTTCTCAAAGCTTGTCCAGAGATGACCTTGACTCATCTGGTGCATCCATCCAGTCCACCCCAGTCTCCACTTCAGCAGCACACAAATTAGCTCGTTTGATTAATCGCCCAATTTACTTTAAGGTAATCACTGTCCTAGTCTAGAGTTTAAGTTTGATTTTGAAAAAAACTTTTCTCGTCCTTGAACTACATCTCTTATGTTGTCCATGAACTACATCTCTTATGTTACAGGGCAGCAAATGTCAGGGCAGTCAGTATAGACCAAAGCATTACTTCAGAGACTGGGGCCGTCTAGCTAAAAAAAAGGTCAGCACTTTTTAAAGCATTCCTGGGATCAATTTCTTTTTAATTTACATTACTGAAGTAATTTCTGTAAAACCAACAAGCATTACTGAAGTAATTTCTGTAAAACCAACAAGCATTACTGAAGTAATTTCTGTAAAACCAACAAGCATTACTGAAGTAATTTCTGTAAAACCAACAAGCATTACTGAAGTAATTTCTGTAAAACCAACAAGCATTACTGAAGTAATTTCTGTAAAACCAACAAGCATTACTGAAGTAATTTCTGTAAAACCAACAAGCATTACTGAAGTAATTTCTGTAAAACCAACAAGCATTACTGAAGTAATTTCTGTAAAACCAACAAGCATTACTGAAGTAATTTCTGTAAAACCAACAAGCATTACTGAAGTAATTTCTGTAAAACCAACAAGCATTACTGAAGTAATTTCTGTAAAACCAACAAGCATTACTGAAGTAATTTCTGTAAAACCAACAAGCATTACTGAAGTAATTTCTGTAAAACCAACAAGCATTACTGAAGTAATTTCTGTAAAACCAACAAGCATTACTGAAGTAATTTCTGTAAAACCAACAAGCATTACTGAAGTAATTTCTGTAAAACCAACAAGCATTACTGAAGTAATTTCTGTAAAACCAACAAGCATTACTGAAGTAATTTCTGTAAAACCAACAAGCATTACTGAAGTAATTTCTGTAAAACCAACAAGCATTACTGAAGTAATTTCTGTAAAACCAACAAGCATTACTGAAGTAATTTCTGTAAAACCAACAAGCATTACTGAAGTAATTTCTGTAAAACCAACAAGCATTACTGAAGTAATTTCTGTAAAACCAACAAGCATTACTGAAGTAATTTCTGTTAAACCAACAAGCATTACTGAAGTAATTTCTGTTAAACCAACAAGCATTACTGAAGTAATTTCTGTTAAACCAACAAGCATTACTGAAGTAATTTCTGTTAAACCAACAAGCATTACTGAAGTAATTTCTGTTAAACCAACAAGCATTACTGAAGTAGTTTCTGTAAAACCAACAAGCATTACTGAAGTAATTTCCGTAAAACCAACAAGCATTACTGAAGTAATTTCCGTAAAACCAACAAGCATTACTGAAGTAATTTCCGTAAAACCAACAAGCATTACTGAAGTAATTTCCGTAAAACCAACAAGCATTACTGAAGTAATTTCCGTAAAACCAACAAGCATTACTGAAGTAATTTCCGTAAAACCAACAAGCATTACTGAAGTAATTTCCGTAAAAACAACAAGCATTACTGAAGTAATTTCCGTAAAAACAACAAGCATTACTGAAGTAATTTCCGTAAAAACAACAAGCATTACTGAAGTAATTTCCGTAAAAACAACAAGCATTACTGAAGTAATTTCCGTAAAACCAACAAGCATTACTGAAGTAATTTCCGTAAAACCAACAAGCATTACTGAAGTAATTTCCGTAAAACCAACAAGCATTACTGAAGTAATTTCCGTAAAACCAACAAGCATTACTGAAGTAATTTCCGTAAAACCAACAAGCATTACTGAAGTAATTTCCGTAAAACCAACAAGCATTACTGAAGTAATTTCCGTAAAACCAACAAGCATTACTGAAGTAATTTCCGTAAAACCAACAAGCATTACTGAAGTAATTTCCGTAAAACCAACAAGCATTACTGAAGTAATTTCCGTAAAACAAACAAGCATTACTGAAGTAATTTCCGTAAAACCAACAAGCATTACTGAAGTAATTTCTGTAAAACCAACAAGCATTACTGAAGTAATTTCTGTAAAACCAACAAGCATTACTGAAGTAATTTCTGTAAAACCAACAAGCATTACTGAAGTAATTTCTGTAAAACCAACAAGCATTACTGAAGTAATTTCTGTAAAACCAACAAGCATTACTGAATAATTTTTGTCTGTTCCATTAGAGGCTGCAAGAAGAAAATCATCTGCTGGAATACGCCATCCAGAAATACAAGACTGATATCAGTCTGATGGAAACATCTTTCATGATCCATTATCACACTCTTTATCAGGATATGACTGCAGAAGAAAGGTAATTGAACACAATCTATAGATAGTCAACCCTTTTATAAAAATCTACCCAGCCATCTAAAGAGAGTCAATGTTTGTCCTTTTATTATCACTTTTAAAGTGGCTAAAGTGTATTCTTTCTCAATATATCCCCACCAAAATATAAGAATATTAAAATGTGATCTAAAAATATTAAAATGTGATTTAAGAATATTAAAATGTGATCTAAGGATGATAAAATGTGATCTAAGAATGTTAAAATGTGATCTAAGAATGTTAAAATGTGATCTAAGAATGTTAAAATGTGATCTAAGAATGTTAAATGTGATCTAAGAATGTTAAAATGTGATCTATGAATGTTAAAATGTGATCTACAAATGTTAAAATGTGATCTAAGGATGATAAATTGTGATCTAAGGATGATAAAATGTGATCTAAGGATGTTAAAATGTGATCTAAGAATGTTAAAATGTGATCTACGAATGTTAAAATGTGATCTAAGAATGTTAAAATGTGATCTAAGAATGTTAAATGTGATCTAAGAATGTTAAAATGTGATCTACGAATGTTAAAATGTGATCTAAGAATGTTAAAATGTGATCTAAGAATGTTAAAATGTGATCTAAGAATGTTAAAATGTGATCTAAGAATGTTAAAATGTGATCTAAGAATGTTAAATGTGATCTAAGAATGTTAAAATGTGATCTAGGGATGTTAAAATGTGATCTAAGAATGTTAAAATGTGATCTAAGAATGTTAAAATGTGATCTAAGAATGTTAAACGTGATCTAAGAATGTTAAAATGTGATCTAGGGATGATATCCAAGAACTGGAGTGGCTGTGGTCTGAGGTGAGAGCTCAGGTGATGGAGATGGAAAAGTTGCTCCTGGCCAGGATAAGATCTGTCCACTCCGGCAATGATTTCCACTCTCTGTTGTCCAGCTTGGGAATCATTGATAGGGTAGGTTTGACAAACCTCTTTACTCACCCTCACCACTGAACATGGGTAGGTTTGACAAACCTTTTTACTCACCCTCACCACTGAACATGGGTAGGTTTGACAAACCTTTTTACTCACCACTGAACATGGGTAGGTTTGACAAACCTTTTTACTCACCCTCACCACTGAACATGGGTAGGTTTGACAAACCTTTTTACTCACCCTCACCACTGAACATGGGTAGGTTTGACAAACCTTTTTTTACTCACCACTGAACCTGGGTAGGTTTGACAAACCTTTTTACTCACCCTCACCACTGAACATGGTCCTCTGTTGATGGCCCAGAACCTGATCCTCTATTGATGGCCCAGAACCTGGTCCTCTATTGATGGCCCAGAACCTGGTCCTCTATTGATGGCCCAGAACCTGGTCCTCTATTGATGGCCCAGAACCTGGTCCTCTATTGATGGCCCAGAACCTGATCCTCTATTGATGGCCCAGAACCTGATCCTCTATTGATGGCCCAGAACCTGATCCTCTATTGATGGCCCAGAACCTGATCCTGTGTTGATGGCCCAGAACCTGGTCCTCTATTGATGGCCCAGAACCTGATCCTCTGTTGATGGCCCAGAACCTGATCCTCTGTTGATGGCCCAGAACCTGGCCCTCTATTGATGGCCCAGAACATCATCCTCCATCGATGTATTTTCAGATGATTGAGCTTCTAAAAGAGCAAGTCTACCTGCAGCAAATTTGTCATCAGGACAGTCAAGTGTTTGAAGATGATTCAATAACACATGATAACATAAGCCTAGATAAGGTCAGTGACCCCTACACATGACAACATAAGCCTAGATAAGGTCAGTGACCCCACACATGACAACATAAGCCTAGATAAGGTCAGTGACCCCACACATGACAACATAAGCCTAGATAAGGTCATTAACCCCACACATGACAACATAAGCCTAGATAAGGTCATTAACCCCACACATGACAACATAAGCCTAGATAAGGTCAGTGACCCCCACACATGACAACATAAGCCTAGATAAGGTCATTAACCCCACACATGACAACATAAGCCTAGATAAGGTCATTAACCCCACACATGACAACATAAGCCTAGATAAGGTCATTAACCCCACACATGACAACATAAGCCTAGATAAGGTCATTAACCCCACACATGCCAACATAAGCCTAGATAAGGTCATTAACCCCACACATGCCAACATAAGCCTAGATAAGGTCATTAACCCAACACATGCCAACATAAGCCTAGATAAGGTCATTAACCCCACACATGCCAACATAAGCCTAGATAAGGTCAATAAGTACAAACAGGAGCTTTACGTAACACTTGTCTTTTAGTTCATTATGTAATATTATTTGATTGTTTTAGTGTGTAAATAAATTGAATAAATAATGAAAGATTGTATAATAAGCTATAGTAAACAGCTTTTTAAAATGACACATGAATAAATAACATCCCAGCCACCATTGAAGTTTTTTATTCAATTTGAATTCACAACTGTATCGCTTGAAGTTTTTAAAGACAATTTAAGTACCACAGTGTTTTGAATGCTGTCAAACATTTAAGATTATGTTAGTACCACAGTGTTTACACATACCCCTGTCTCAAGTCATGTGACTTGGCAAAGTCATGTTATAAATTGATGGCATGTTAGTACGACAGTGTTTACACATACCCCTGTCTCAAGTCATGTGACTTGGCAAAGTCATGTTATAAATTGATGGCATGTTAGTACGACAGTGTTTACACATACCCCTGTCTCAAGTCATGTGACTTGGCCAAGTCATGTTATAAATGCATGTTTACATCTACAGATGAAGTCATCAGTCAGCTCTACAGTCATGCGGCAAGTTAAGATGGAGATTGAAGAGACAAGGAAAAAACTGGAGTCTGACTTAAAGGTTAGTCACATCCACATGGTGGGTGGGAGGGGGGGGGGGGGTCACATCCACATGGTGGGTGGGGGCGTCACAGTCATGGGGAGGGTGGGGGTGTCACACCCATGGCGAGGGTGGGGCCGTCACAGCCATGGGGAGGGTGGGGCGTCACACCCATGGCGAGGGTGGGGCGTCACACCCATGGCGAGGGTGGAGTATGTTGTCCATGTGGAGGGTGGGGTATATTTGTGCTAGAGTCTTGTAGCCTAACAATTTGAATGTTGTGGAGGGTGGGGTATATTAGTCTTGTAGCCTAACAATTTGAATGTTGTGGAGGGTGGGGTATATTAGAGTCTTGTAGCCTAACAATTTGAATGTTGTGGAGGGTGGGGTATATTAGAGTCTTGTAGCCTAACAATTTGAATGTTGTGGAGGGTGGGGTATATTAGAGTCTTGTAGCCTAACAATTTGAATGTTGTGGAGGGTGGGGTATATTAGAGTCTTGTAGCCTAACAATTTGAATGTTGTGGAGGGTGGGGTATATTAGAGTCTTGTAGCCTAACAATTTGAATGTTGTGGAGGGTGGGGTATATTTGTGCTAGAGTCTTGTAGCCTAACAATTTGAATGTTGTGTCATTTGCAGGCCAGGGATGCTGACATTGAACAACTTAAATCTCACATTTCTTCAACCAGGCGATGGGTTCCAAAATCTAGGTCAAAATTTGGTTTTAGTACCCCATCACGAACATTTATTTCAAGCTATGTAACACCAACAAGGTCAAGGTCACGTGTTGTTGAGGGGAAAGTTGTACATGAGACTGATGTGTAAATCTTATGTGACAGCCATACATACACTACACACTATGTGACAGCCATATGCACACTTATATATATACATATATATATATATAATTATATATATATATATATATATAATTATATATATATATATATATATAATTATATATATATATATATATATATATATATATATATATATATATATATATATATATATATATATATACGTACTAACTGTATGACATAGCTTCGCAAAGGTGAAAAGTAAATTCAAACATTACTAAGTAGAATAAAAACACAATGCAAGCAGACACTACAAAACAATTTATTACACAAAACAAAATACAACACAAAATATACACACAACACAAACGCAACACAATCTGTTTTGTAATCCTTGGTATAAAAAAAAATTGACAATGGAATATTAAGTCAAGCTAACTACAGTTGGGGAAATAATCACTCTCTCAATATAGATATGTATAGGTCTACATATTTAATTAATTGTAACTGTCAAATTCAACCAGATCAATAATTACTTTACCATTTAATGTAATAGATTTTCATTACTATTTTCTTTTTACAACAAATATCGTCTACAATCAGAATTAAATATAAAACATCACAGCATAGAAAAGGTTGTGAAAGCTGAATTAGTATAAAAGCGCATTTTTAAAACTAATAAAAGTCTAAGCCTAATACCTGGAACATTTAGAATAATAGCCTCACTGTATGTTTAATAAAAACAAAATTATAGGTTTAGCATATCAAAACTTTATATTTTAGAATTAGCTACTGTTTTTGTGTTCTTTATAAAGATTATATTTGAACATAATGATCAAGTACGGGTTAGATCACTGTACTGCTCACACACCTCTTTACTGGTAATTAAAAAAACACAATTCTCGGAGTTTTACCTGATGCAAAAGCTATGATAATGATTGTAAAATAAACATCTATTGTTATTCTTTTTTCAATTTAGCTTATTCAGATTTTGGAGGAAGTTATATTCTTATCCACAGTGTTTTATTTTGATTTAGCTAAATTTACCTGATATATTTAATTGAGCATATGTTAAGTACGTTTTGGTCATATTGACTTATACTAACGTTCTTGAAATTGTGTGGAATGTGTTTATTTTTACTGTACCCCCCCCCCCCCCCCCATTTAGTTGCTTAGAGTTTTGAACATAATCCATCTAAAAATATCTGTACAAGATGTCTTAGGAAAACATTCAGCTGACAGGCATGGAACCTGTAGTTTCCCTTCCTGCTAGTATTTACATATTGAAGAAAGCAAGGTTGTATTTAAATAAAACCATTACACGTTTCTAGCCTGATCTTGAAACTTGAAGTTAATATGCCCTCCCATAGATGGGATGGCTGAATTGAGCCTGACAACTCAAGCAAAAGCTAAACTTGTTAATTAAGATTGATCTGTAGGTGGTTGACGGTCTATACCCAGCAGGAATAACGCCAACATCAGATGTACAGGCGCTAAAGTAGACAGACCTTGTGACTAAAAAGAACCCCTCACATGCCTGTCGGTGAGCTACGTGTCGATTAGTAAGCCAAGAAGTAGGACATAGATTTATTTGCCATGAGTTATTAAAATTGTGATATTTAGGGTGCTTAACACATAGTTTTTAATTCGTAGTTTCAGTGATGGGTTTGCTTTTCTTTTTTTTTTTTTTGTTGCAGAAGTTGTTTTAAATTTTATTTAATAATTCTCCAAAATAGGCGAGAGTAGGTGGAGTACCCACTCCCCCTCCCCACGAGTAGGTGGAGTACCCACCACCCTCCCCACGAGTAGGTGGAGTACCCACTCCCCCTCCCCACGAGTAGGTGGAGTACCCACTCCCCCTCCCCACAAGTAGGTGGAGTACCCACCACCCTCCCCACGAGTAGGTGGAGTACCCACCACCCTCCCCACGAGTAGGTGGAGTACCCACCACCCTCCCCACGAGTAGGTGGAGTACCCACCACCCTCCCCACGAGTAGGTGGAGTACCCACTCCCCCTCCCCACGAGTAGGTGGAGTACCCACTCCCCCTCCCCACAAGTAGGTGGAGTACCCACCACCCTCCCCACGAGTAGCTGGAGTACCCACTCCCCCTCCCCACGAGTAGGTGGAGTACCCACTCCCCCTCCCCACGAGTAGGTGGAGTACCCACTCCCCCTCCCCACAAGTAGGTGGAGTACCCACTCCCCCTCCCCACGAGTAGGTGGAGTACCCACTCCCCCTCCCCACGAGTAGGTGGAGTACCCACTCCCCCTCCCCACAAGTAGGTGGAGTACCCACCACCCTCCCCACGAGTAGGTGGAGTACCCACCACCCTCCCCACGAGTAGGTGGAGTACCCACTCCCCCTCCCCACGAGTAGGTGGAGTACCCACTCCCCCTCCCCACGAGTAGGTGGAGTACCCACTCCCCCTCCCCACGAGTAGGTGGAGTACCCACTCCCCCTCCCCACGAGTATGTGTAGTACCCACTCCCCCTCCCCACGAGTAGGTGGAGTACCCACTCCCCCTCCCCACGAGTAGGTGGAGTACCCACTCCCCCTCCCCACGAGTAGGTGGAGTACCCACTCCCCCTCCCCACGAGTAGGTGGAGTACCCACCACCCTCCCCATGCTAACACTATGTGACAGCCATATGTACACTAATATACATACACTAACACACCATTAATATTACATGTAAAAAGTTTTTTAATTATATAAAATACTATTGATTCCATTGCTCATTCAATCTAATTATGAATGAATCTTCAATCAGACATCAGTTCTTTGTTAGCTTTTCTGAATCATACGCACCCTTCACCATACGCACCCTTCATCACACGCACCCTTCATCCTACGCACCCTTCATCATACGCACCCTTCATCAATATATAATGTTCAGCTGGATTAGATTTTAACAGTAATTAGTGCAACGTTGATTTTGTGATGATCCAATTAATTAAACCTAATTTAGTAATTAAACTGATACCACCCGTTTTTGCTTATAAAGCAAACACAATTTTTTTTAGAAACATTTGCTCTAACCTCAATCAGCTTGAATAAATTTAAAATGCTTCTCGTTAGGACGGCTGACGAAAATCTGACATTGAAAATATTGAAAATGAAATTAAGCACATGGCTGATCAAGAAAAAATAGAGCATTGGTTTTATCTATCTATCGGTGGACTTTTTCAAAATATCTTGCTGTCTCTGAGCCCTGAAAGTCCATTAGAATTGAAGTGATTGACAGCAGAACAGTCAACTATGTGCAAGGCCAACCACTACACCATAATGTTACTAAATACATACACCTTGAATGACATTCATCAAGTCTGCTAAAAGTTTTTTTAATCATCTGTATGTCCATATCAGTGTTTGTAAAAAAAACTTATCTGATCACCACTTTGTACCCATCAGAAGAAAGGTATTCAATCATACTGTTGCTATTGTCAAAACTACTCTGATACTTTCATTTTTTTAAACATTTATTGTAAACCGATCTTGCGTAAAGTTGAATTGTAGCCTCCACATTTTTTATGACCAGTAGCTTTACAAGCGTCTGTTTTATGTCGACCAACTTAATTATGCGTTTCTTTAAACATGATCACCTTGTACAATTGATAAATATGCTATTCTGTATTAAATACATGAAAGTAATTCACCTATTTTTAGTGTGATTTTGTTTTCAAACGGTTGTAGCCTGCAGAGTTTCTTCCAGGCATCTCTTCGGGGGGGGGGGGGGGGGACAGGCCACCCCCCCCACCCCCCCCCCCAAAAATTTTTTTTTTCTGAGATTCGATACCATAATACATACGCATTCACTAAAAACTAATATAGAAAGTAGATTTGAAGCCCTTTGATTTGATATGACTTTGCACGCTGTAAAATATAATTTAATGCTGAAAATGATAGATTTAAAAGTTAAAAATGCGTTTTTAGGGGTCATCCATAAATGACGTCACGCTTTTTTTGACGATTTTTACCTCCCCCCCTCCCCTCCGTCACACGTCGTCACAAAAAGCCAGACCCCCCCCCCCTAAAATGACGTCACACCTCAACCTACAACACCCCCTCAAAATTGCAGTTGAATTTTCTTAAAACATCGATATTTGTCCAAAATCTTGTCTAAACTATTACAATTTATTAAAACAGTTATCTAAAACGCGAAATAACGTCTAAAATTCGTTTTCTAACATTGCTTTTTTATAATGCAAAAATGTGACGTCGCAACATCTGATCCCCACCCCCTCCCCCTCATCACACATCGTCACAAAATTACGGACCCCCCCCCTCCCCCCTACGAGTGTGACGTCATTTATGGATGACCCCTTACATGAAAAAATTATTTTACAGCCGGCAAAATTGAATTTAAAGTAAGTAACCTATCAGAAACCAAAATTTAAACAGAAAAATCTGACTCCCCTCAACTACTACAAGGTGAAAGTTTAAGTCCATCGAACACTATTATTTTTTAAAGAAAATATAATTTTCGTCTTACAATTCCTTTTTGATAAACTCATCTATTGTTAGTTGAAAGTCCAAGAGAGGAAATTAAATGATGAAGTGGAGGAAAAAATGGTCACACAACAGCCATTAAAAATCTATGAGTCCATTAGTAGATTATATTGTGTAATCATTAAAAAAATGTCCACACAACATTTTTATTAATAACAGCATGAAGTGAAACCATTATATTTCGGTATCTGCTTTTAAAAGGACTAAATCCAAGTAGACCTATACAAATAAATGTGTATGTTGTTTGTCTTTCTGCAGAATTCATCAACAGCTATCTTAGTACCTGCATGCAGCCTGGTGCTGTTGCATGGTTGCAGAGACTGCTCTGGGTCTAATTAAACCCACACTCATGGTTTACATCCAGGTCACCATTGATGATTGCACCCAGCTACTCCCTTAGCACTGTCACCCATTCCCAAATCCTAAGGGGCATAAGTCAGCCAAAATTAAAAGGTAGTGAAGTGAAATAATTTATTTGAAATTTTAAAAACAATAGGCCTACCTTTCCCTTTATTTAAAACTCACAACATAAAATCCAAAAGCAAGCAGGAGTTTGAATTCTGATAATTCCAATCAAAGTGGCTACATACAGACATACATAGTTTCCATCAAACTTTAAATAGGCATTTTGATGAAAATTTCAAACTGATTTTTTATTAAAAATTTGTCAATAATAGCTAGCACACTAGTAAACTAAACCAATTTTGCATATTTTAACTTTCTGTGCAAAGTCATTTTTACTGAAAAAAATTCCAAAGTCAAGTCAGCCTGTGGCACCCTCCACTGAACTTGGCGGAAGAAAAATATACATTACCTGTGACCTTCATTAAAACAGAATTTACTTTTGTTTTTTATTAGTATTAAAAATGTGCTATCTTACCCAAGCTAATTAAGTCATAAAAATTTGAAAATTTATTTTAAATATTACTGCTGTATAGTGAGATAAACAGCTAAACAAGCAAGTGCTTTTTGAGAGGGTGTGCCCCTGGTGTGGCACATTGCAAAGGAACTTTATATTTCTGTGTTTTATGACGATATTTGTACACAATCAGCATTCTTATAGCGCTCTATGCTTTTAAAATTGTTAAAGGGTAAGTATATTAAGTCAGTTTAAAAAATAAAAACGACCATGAATGAAAAGAGCGTAAACATTTTATATTTAGGTAGGCTATGACATAAAAAATAAATCTAGCCAAATGATTGGATTCTTACACTGCACACTTTTTCTCGCGCCTCGTTTTCACCAAAAAAGATTAGCCTATAAATTATAATAAAATGGCATTATTGAAGGGTGATCATTTTCACCAAACACATCGCGTCTCCCGATTTCCCAACCTATCTCAAAAACACCCTAAATTGTTACCAGTTAATTGTAATGTGTGTAAAATTAATGATTTAAAGTTTATTATTCACCTAGGCTGGTTATTATGGAAGCGATATTTTAGAGTAAGACACGAAGAGAATCAGAGGCGTATCCAGGTTTTCGGTGTAGGGGGAGCGGAAATAGCAAAAAAAGGCGCCGAATTTGTAATATCTTCTATATAAGTATATATATATATATATATATATATATATATATATATATATATATATATATATATATATATATAATCACACTAGGACCAAAAAACAACCAACGGCATAATCTGTTTCGTAATCCTTGTAAAAGAATGCATAATAATGGACACCAGCGAGAAAAGTCTCAAAGGTATTAGAGATGTGTATAAATTCATTTGAAAATCTTGCACGGCGTAGTTACAATTAATATGGTTATAAAATCCTGTCTGTCTGGTTTTTTTCGGACTTTACTAAAGATTGGTTGTATTTGATGTTTTTAATATTTTCGGTAACTAAATAAAAATTTAAAAAAAAGAGCAAAAACAATTTGGTTTTCACGTGTAATGGCGACATAAACAATGGCCGACATAAATTTTATTGTACACATTGTAAGCTAAAAATAGAAAAAATAGGTCATGGTGTTTAAATTTGCATAGTTATTTAAAACTTGATCTGCAAAGTTTTGTAAACAAAATAACTATCAAGTGGGGCTGTCAGAAATCGATCACGGAGTTCCTTTACAGCCAATCAATGTTTGTCTTACGAAAGTGAAACATCGGGTTATAACTTAGGCTTGATGAAAATAAATAGAAATGTAGCCTTAAACTCAACAAATTATTTTCAAGTTCTCTGGATCTGCAACTTGTATAGCATTGATTCTAAAAATATTACATTTCTGAATTAATATTAGGCTTAAGTTTTTAATAAAATTTTATCTTTTATTAGTTTTATGGTCCTAAATCTAAAAAAGCACATTTTTATTCCATGTCAACAACATTACGGAAGGAATCTCGTCAACTCGCTGGTGTCCATTCCTGGGACATCTATTAAGACTGGCGAAAAGGGAAATAATCAATATCTTAATATAAATATTTTATTATTATATATATTACATATTTTATTATAAGTATCAAAACAAATCAATAACTACCTAAGATTCTAATAAAGTAGTTTAACACCATATGTTTTTACAAAAATATTTTATCTACAATCAGAATTAAATATATTATCATAAATGCTAAACTTTTACAGCATAATGAAAGTTTTTAAAATCAGAGTTGGTATAAAACCCAGCTTTTAAATATAATAGCCTACATATAACTAAAGTATCCGTCTTACATTTCAGTTCATGCACTTTTTTAATTAGCTACTGACTTTTAGTGTTCTAGAAAGATAATTTTTTTACATCATGAGAAGGTATGGGTTAGATCACTGTATTGCTCACACACCTTTTACTGGTAATTGCAAAAACAATATTCACAGAGATTTACGTTTCAAATGTGCCGACCAAAGATAACTTTTTAACAAATATCAATGTTTAAAACTTTGAGTTTAAAAAGTTTCCAAACAGGCGCCATTTTGCTAAAAATGGCCAGAGGGGGGGGGGGGCGGGGCAGCCGCTCCCCCCCCCTGCGTACGCTACTGAAGAGAATACAATTCTTAGTAGATCTACATAGAGCTACTTTCACTAAGGCGCTGCTTGCGAGACAAACAAAGAAATTAGGTCGAAAATACATCTTTCAATTCTTAAATAAATAGTTATAAATAACAGACTCAAAAAGAAACAGTTCTGATTTCTAAAATTGACAATGACTTCGAATTCATTAGTTTCATCAGCGTAGTCGAAGCGAAACTGGCCGCCATTTAAGTAAGCGCGTGAGCTGTGAGATGGCACGAAAACAACACACCTGGAAGCTTTGAAGAGAATGTAGTTGGTTCCAGTCTGTTATATTATGAACGAGCCGACCCGCGGCGTATCATACGCCGCTATTTAATTGTTTTATTTTCTACTTTTCAGTAATTCATAATTTGTGAATTCGAAAGTACTAATGCTGCCACTGAATATATTTGCTTTAAAACACTATCAGTGGCTCGTTAAGGATGATAACACCCCTTCTCCCCCCCCCCCCCCCGTGAAAGCAGCCTCCTCTTGGTTACCTCCCTTAAGTTTAAAATTGTTTAAAATTATTTGAAACTAAATTATCAGCCCCTAATAGCCGTCACTAAACCCGGCTCTACGATTGTAAACAATTAGCGTGAACCACAGCTCACCAGACCATGTAGGGGTGGGGGTGGTAGGGAGTGCGCTTACAACTTGGTGTTTTCTAGGGTCTCCAAGAAGAGAATTATATATATAGATTATTTTGTCGACTCAGCTGGTTGATATACAAGAGCTGCTGGCAGCGAATCTCTGACCATGTGCTCCACAACACAGAAATAACTTCTCTATCACAGGTCAGCAATAACAGAAATAACTTCTCTACTTCTTCCATCTATCTCTATCACAGGTTAGCACCAACAGAAACACATCCTGGCTGCTATATAAATAATGAAAACCATATAATAGGTTAAAAATATTTATTAAAACAATATGAGGGAGACATGTATGATTGTGTGGAGAGGACATTAACTAACATAAAATGACATTGAAATTGCTATTTACAAGTATTAATGTACATTATGAACAAATTTTAATCAAAGTCATCTTCATCTTCACTGGAAAAATTGTATTTGACAGGAGCTTTAGCCCTTCCAGTTGTTGCCCTTGGAGCAGGATTAAAAGATAAATCATCCAACTCAGATTCACTTTCTTTGGCAGCTTTTTTCTGGGAGAAAACCAATAGAGTCAATTTTATTACCTCATATAGAAAACCAATAGAGTCAATTTTATTACCTCATATAGAAAACCAATAGTCAATTTTATTACCTCATCTAGAAAACCAATAGAGTCAATTTTATTACCTCATATAGAAAACCAATAGAGTCAATTTTATTACCTCATCTAGAAAACTAACAGATAAAATTTTATTACCTGTCTAGAAACACAATAGTTGAAATGTTATTACCTTGTCTAGAAAACAATAAAATTTTATTTGCTTCACTCACCTAGTATAGAGGAGCCCTATGTCATACCATCTAAAGTAGTTGCCTACTTTTTTTTTTACCTTGCCCCAAAAGTTGCCTACCTTGTCCCCAGATGTCACAAAAATTGCCTACCTTACCCACAGTTGTCACAAAAGTTGCCTACCTTGCCCCCAAGTGCCCCAAAAGTTGCCTACCTTGCCCCCAGATGTCACTAAAGTTGCCTACCTTGCCCACTGCTGTTTTCTTGTGAGGCACGAAGCTGTCTGAGTCTGAGCTATCATCAAGTTTGACACGTTTTTTTGCTGGTGCCTTTTTTGTTTTGATAGGGCTGTCTTCTAGAGCTTTCTTTTTTACTTGTGTTTTCTTTGGTTCAACCACCTTTTTGGCTGCAGCTTCTGAAAAATATCACATTCAAATAGTAGCTTCATTTAGTTGACCTAAGTCTAGTATGTCAGGCTAACTACTTCATTTGGCCCACTTCACCTCAATACTTCTAAAGTCATATTTAAACTAGACTATTATGACTTGTTCTTGCTGAGATAAATTCTTTTTTTAAGTTATAATTTTAATTTTTTTTATATAATATTAGCACAAAAAAGGGTTACATCAAATCTAAACACACTAAAAACAACAAGAGTTACTGCCTAGAATTCTAATACTAGAGTCAGAAGGTGTAACCTGACATGGAGCTATTTTGGCATCTGGTTGACCTTTTCTTATAAATAATTTATTCATTGTTTAAAATGTCTCAGGCTAAGATAGAACAAATTCCTAAGTACTTGCTGCTCGATTGGGAGCTGATGGTTCAATGCTGAGACACTGGGCTGACAGTACAATGGTGACACACTGAGCTGTCAGTGCAATCAAATGGTGACACACTGGGCTCTCAGTACAATGGTGACACATTGGGCTGACAGTACAATGGTGACACATTGGGCTGACAGTACAATGGTGACACACTGAGCTGTCAGTGCAATCAAATGGTGACACACTGGGCTGACAGTACAATGGTGACACATTGGGCTGACAGTACAATGGTGACACACTGGGCTGACAGTACAATGGTGACACACTGGGCTGACAGTACAATGGTGACACACTGAGCTGTCAGTGCAATCAAATGGTGACACACTGGGCTCTCAGTACAATGGTGACACATTGGGCTGACAGTACAATGGTGACACATTGGGCTGACAGTACAATGGTGACACTGAGCTGTCAGTGCAATCAAATGGTGACACACTGGGCTGACAGTACAATGGTGACACACTGGGCTGACAGTACAATGGTGACACACTGGGCTGACAGTACAATGGTGACACACTGGGCTGACAGTACAATGGTGACACACTGGGCTGACAGTACAATGGTGACACACTGGGCTGACAGTACAATGGTGACACACTGGGCTGACAGTACAATGGTGACACACTGGGCTGACAGTACAATGGTGACACACTGGGCTGACAGTACAATGGTGACACTGGGCTCTCAGTACAATGGTGACACACTGGGCTGACAGTACAATGGTGACACACTGGACTGACAGTACAATGGTGACAAACTGGGCTGACAGTACAATGGTGACACACTGGGCTGACAGTACAATGGTGACACACTGGGCTGACAGTACAATGGTGACACACTGGGCTCTCAGTACAATGGTGACACACTGGGGTGACAGTACAATGGTGACACACTGGGCTGACAGTACAATGGTGACACACTGGGCTGACAGTACAATGGTGACACACTGGGCTCTCAGTACAATGGTGACACACTGGGCTGACAGTACAATGGTGACACACTGGGCTGACAGTACAATGGTGACACACTGGGCTGACAGTACAATGGTGACACACTGGGCTGACAGTACAATGGTGACACACTGGGCTGACAGTACAATGGTGACACACTGGGCTGACAGTACAATGGTGACACACTGGGCTGACAGTACAATGGTGACACACTGGGCTGACAGTACAATGGTGACACACTGGGCTCTCAGTACAATGGTGACACACTGAGCTGAATGATCCAATATTGACTTACCTTTAGGCTTGGGCTGTGGATCATCATCTTCATCATCAGTTAGAGGGTAAAGTGACTTACCTTTAGGCTTGGGCTGTGGATCATCATCTTCATCATCAGTTAGAGGGTAAAGTGACTTACCTTTAGGCTTGGGCTGTGGATCATCATCTTCATCATCAGTTAGAGGGTAAAGTGACTTACCTTTAGGCTTGGGCTGTGGATCATCATCTTCATCATCAGTTAGAGGGTAAAGTGACTTACCTTTAGGCTTGGGCTGTGGATCATCATCTTCATCATCAGTTAGAGGGTAAAGTGACTTACCTTTAGGCTTGGGCTGTGGATCATCATCTTCATCATCAGTTAGAGGGTAAAGTGACTTACCTTTAGGCTTGGGCTGTGGATCATCATCTTCATCATCAGTTAGAGGGTAAAGTGACTTACCTTTAGGCTTGGGCTGTGGATCATCATCTTCATCATCAGTTAGAGGGTAAAGTGACTTACCTTTAGGCTTGGGCTGTGGATCATCATCTTCATCATCAGTTAGAGGGTAAAGTGACTTACCTTTAGGCTTGGGCTGTGGATCATCATCTTCATCATCAGTTAGAGGGTAAAGTGACTTACCTTTAGGCTTGGGCTGTGGATCATCATCTTCATCATCAGTTAGAGGGTAAAGTGACTTACCTTTAGGCTTGGGCTGTGGATCATCATCTTCATCATCAGTTAGAGGGTAAAGTGACTTACCTTTAGGCTTGGGCTGTGGATCATCATCTTCATCATCAGTTAGAGGGTAAAGTGACTTACCTTTAGGCTTGGGCTGTGGATCATCATCTTCATCATCAGTTAGAGGGTAAAGTGACTTACCTTTAGGCTTTGGCTGTGGATCATCATCTTCATCATCAGTTAGAGGGTAAAGTTCTTTGTTGCTTAGCACTGAGAGGAAAAGTTGAAACCAAATTAGTAGAGGGAACCAATGTTTGTAGAGGGAACCAATGTTTGTAGAGGGAACCAATGTTTGTAGAGGGAACCAATGTTTGTTAGGAGAACAAATGTTTGTAGAGGGAACCAATGTTTGTAGAGGGAACCAATGTTTGTTAGGAGAACAAATGTTTGTAGAGGGAACCAATGTTTGTAGAGGGAACCAATGTTTGTTAGGAGAACAAATGTTTGTAGAGGGAACCAATGTTTGTAGAGGGAACCAATGTTTGTTAGGAGAACAAATGTTTGTAGAGGGAACCAATGTTTGTAGAGGGAACCAATGTTTGTAGAGGGAACCAATGTTTGTAGAGGGAACCAATGTTTGTAGAGGGAACCAATGTTTGTAGAGAGAGCCAATGTTTGTAGAGGGAACCAATGTTTGTTAGGAGAACAAATGTTTGTAGAGGGAACCAATGTTTGTAGAGGGAACCAATGTTTGTAGAGGGAACCAATGTTTGTAGAGGGAACCAATGTTTGTAGAGGGAACCAATGTTTGTAGAGAGAGCCAATGTTTGTAGAGGGAACCAATGTTTGTTAGGAGAACAAATGTTTGTAGAGGGAACCAATGTTTGTAGAGGGAACCAATGTTTGTAGAGGGAACCAATGTTTGTAGAGGGAACCAATGTTTGTAGAGTGAAACAATGTTTGTAAAGGGAACCAATGTTTGTAGAGGGAACCAATGTTTGTAGAGGGAGCCAATGTTTGTTAGGAGAACAAATGTTTGTAGACAGAACCAATGTTTGTAGAGGGAACCAATGTTTGTAGAGAGAACCAATGTTTGTAGAGGGAACCAATGTTTGTAGAGGGAACCAATGTTTGTAGAGGGAACCAATGTTTGTAGAGGGAACCAATGTTTGTTAGGAGAACCAATGTTTGTTAGGAGAACAAATGTTTGTTAGGAGAACAAATGTTTGTAGAGGGAACCAATGTTTGTAGAGGGAACCAATGTTTGTAGAGGGAACCAATGTTTGTAAAGGGAACCAATGTTTGTTAGGAGAACACATGTTTGTTACAAGAACCAATGTTTGTAGAGGGAACCAATGTTTGTAGAGAGAGCCAATGTTTGTAGAGAGAGCCAATGTTTGTAGAGGGAACCAATGTTTGTAGAGGGAACCAATGTTTGTTACAAGAACCAATGTTGAAAGAGATGGAGGGTGTACTCACTGGGCTGATCTTTTTTCTCCACATTTGTCTTTGGGGCTTGACTTTTTTTTATTGTTGGCCTAAAAGGAATTGAAAGCACATCAATATTACAACATAGCTACACAAAGTACTCACTAGGGTTGCTCTTATTTTGGACAACGCCAGAGGTGATAAGCAGATGCTACAAACGATGTATCTGCCCCTAATAGCCGTCACTAATTCGACATTGCTCTACGATTGTAAACATTCAGCATGAGTCACAGCTCACCAGTTGGGGTGGGAGTGATAACAATATGGTCTGTTTGTAGAGAGCGAGGGAGAGAGCGGGAGGAGGGTTAAAGAGTCGGGGTGTGTGGTGGTGGTCTCCCGCATTGTTGGGCAACATAAAGAATTAAATAGATAGCAGACGTGCTACCACTGCCTGCCAAAAGTAGGAACAGTCATGCCTAAAAAGAGGAATTTGCATAAAAAAGAGGAACATATTAATTAAAAATTAGTCTAATGACATTTGTAGGCTACTAGTTATATGTAACAGGTTACATTTAAATACTGCTTAATGCAGGGGTTCCCAACCCCGTGCCCGCCTCACGATTCGTATGTGCCCGCCTCTCACTATTCTCTCATTATTTTCATAAACATTATTGAAAGGTTGAAGGGGATTGAAATCGAAAGTTTGAGGGGGGGGGGGGGTGCAAATCAAAAATTTGAAAGGGGGGGGGGGGTGTGCAAAGGTGACGGGAAGGGTCGCTACGCCTTTGGAAGGAGTTTGTCGATTTAAAATAGGTGGTGCCCGCCACCCTACCGATATTTTAGAATGTGCTCTAGAGTTAAAAAAGGTTGGGAACCCCTGGCTTAATGTCAGCTTACATTTTTTCTTTAAAAAGTTAACCAGTAACCTGAGCCCCACCCCCCCCCCCCCCCCCCGTGAATTTGAAATTTTTCCCCCTGCCCCGCAAAAACATCCCCAGAAATTTTCTCAACAACTCCCCAAAGTTTCACGGTGATGTGATGAGAGGTGTAGTAATGCATAAAAGACAAACAAACAAACAGACAGACACACATTGCTTTTTATATAGATAGATGTTTTGGGAATAATAGGGTGCTTGAAAAGAAAAATCGGGACAAAAAAAAAACCATTCTGCAGGCCAAGTAATAATGAATTTTTTCGTTTAGAAACAGTTGAGAAACTTTGCAAGTTCACACAAGTGACCGTAGTTTCAAGGGGTGGGCTAGTCTAGCCCTATCGTCAGCATTTGCTAAGGTTTCAAAAAGTTAGACATTTTACCTAAACAACCCCACACCTCCCCCAGAATTTTTTGTTATGACCGCCTGCCTACAAGACAACCATTCACACACCTCCCCCATAATTTTTTGTTATGACCGCCTGCCTACAAGATTTCTGAGGGCAATAATTCTTTCAATAAATGACAATTTTAAATACTTGTCACATGTTAACACTTTTTCCAGACTTTCAAGACTGTGTACGAATCCTGATTGCAAAAGAAAATTGCCATAAAAAACAGACTCACTTTTTCTGGACAGTTGTTTTAGAAAGAGGTTCTTTAGGTTTAGGAGCTTCAGCTTTAGGAACTTCAGTAGATTTGAAATCATCTTCACTGGAGACAATACTACCACCATTAACATCATTGTCTCCTTCTGGATCATGAGGGTAGAATTCCAACTCATCATCACTTTCCACCTCTTCCTCATTGTCAAAACTATATTTGACTTTAGCCGCTGAAAGAAAAAAGGAATCATGGACCAACCCACAAACCATTTCCTCTGGATAATCTAGGCATTGCTCCGTGAGTCTATGATGACACACACCATACTAATCTAGGCATTGCTCCGTGGGTCTATGATAACACACACCATACTAATCTAGGCATTGCTCAGTGGGTCTATGATAACACACACCATACTAATCTAGGCATTGCTCAGTGGGTCTATGATGACACACACCATACTAATCTAGGCATTGCTCCGTGGGTCTATGATGACACACACCATACAGAGTCTGTTAAGGTTGTAAACCTTTACAGTCTGGTCGGCCAAACAAAGGAAAATGGCCAGGTCGGCCAAACAAAGGAAAATGGCCAGGTCGGCCAAACAAAGGAAAATGGCCAGGTCGGCCAAACAAAGGAAAATGGCCAGGTCGGCCAAACAAAGGAAAATGGCCAGGTCGGCCAAACAAAGGAAAATGGCGTAGAATAATTCATTTAAAATTCTGCATGCATTCGAAAATTAAAACAAAATGTAATTCACAGGGAAAAAAGAATGCAGATTATTGTGCATTACTCTTAATTACCATGCAATAAACATTTTGATTTATAAAGTAGCTCCAAAATTGTTAGTGAAAAAAAAGGGCATACATAGAAAATGTGTTTTTGGGTGTATCAGACTGTACCACACAAGAAAAATCTTAGGTGCTTTTGGCCATACAGGACTGTAAAGGGTTAATGATGTCAGGTGCTTTTGTAACACTACCCTCTAATTTAGGCTGGCTTATGCCCCTTTTCTTAGGATTTGGGAAGGGCAACTGTGACAGTGCTTAAGGGATAAAGCATTAATGATGTCATTATCTAAGGGGATGGCAAATATCTCAAACAATTTACAGCATTTCATTTTCAAGGTTTCTTTTAAACATCAGTTTGAAAACCATGATATCTAGGCCCTATTAGATTGTGCAAATCATATTAGGCCTACATCATTATTGTGTGTCAAAACCTAGGATGATGTAAATTGGATATTTAAATAACAGCGCTTATAAAAATGTGCTCACATGGTCTTGTGTTGTAGACCTAATGGTCAGCATGAGTATGAAAAACTGGTGAGTGTGGTGGATGTTGTCAAGCCAAGTGGTGTGTGGTGGATGTTGTGGAGTCATGTGGTGTGTGGTGGATGTTGTGGAATCATGAGGTGTGTGGTGGATGTTGTCAAGCCAAGTGGTGTGTGGTGGATGTTGTGGAATCATGAGGTGTGTGGTGGATGTTGTGGAGTCATGTGGGCCAGTCAGTCACCTGACCATGATGTGGGCCAGTCAGTCACCTGACCATGATGTGGGCCAGTCAGTCACCTAATCAACAATGCCTGTATTAGTTACCTGCAGATCGTTTAGCTGTCTCCCTAGGAATAACTAGTTCAGTGTCCATTTGATCAACATCACTGAGGTTGCTAGCTTCAGACTCAGTATCAGACCATGGGTTTCTTTTCTTCATCTTCTTTCCTTTATTGGGGGATAATTTCTCACGGGCTAAAACAACCAAGATAAATTTGTTTAAAGTAATATTTTTGTATGATTATTGAAATTTTAAGGATAAAGGATCTAATGTCTGTAGGTATCAAGTGCTAGATTTGTACACATCAGTCTGTACAACTCTGTCCATCATTTGTCATTATAAAATCGGGAAAATCAAAATTATTTTTTTCTTTTATTGGTAATTAAAAAAAACAATTTTTTAAAATCAAAATCATGGATTTCATTTGTATTACCACAATAAAAATACTTTAATGTAGGTAAATAATTTACCGAGCTAAAAAAACTTTAAACTGAATTAGGTTATGCAGTGTTCAATTGCTGTGTTGCGAGTGGCTGTAAACTCAAGTAATGTACTGTCCCAGTCATTAGACAGTGGCTGTAAACTCAAGTAATGTACTGTCCCAGTCATTAGACAGTGCTCAGTGGCTGTAAACTCAAGTAATGTACTGTCCCAGTGGCTGTAAACTCAAGTAATGTACTGTCCCAGTCATTAGACAGTGGCTGTAAACTCAAGTAATGTACTGTCCCAGTCATTAGACAGTGGCTGTAAACTCAAGTAATGTACTGTCCCAGTCATTAGACAGTGGCTGTAAACTCAAGTAATGTACTGTCCCAGTCATTAGACAGTGCTCAGTGGCTGTAAACTCAAGTAATGTACTGTCCCAGTCATTAGACAGTGGCTGTAAACTCAAGTAATGTACTGCCCCAGTCATTAGACAGTGCTCAGTGGCTGTAAACTCAAGTAATGTACTGTCCCAGTGGCTGTAAACTCAAGTAATGTACTGTCCCAGTCATTAGACAGTGGCTGTAAACTCAAGTAATGTACTGTCCCAGTCATTAGACAGTGGCTGTAAACTCAAGTAATGTACTGTCCCAGTCATTAGACAGTGGCTGTAAACTCAAGTAATGTACTGTCCCAGTCATTAGACAGTGCTCAGTGGCTGTAAACTCAAGTAATGTACTGTCCCAGTCATTAGACAGTGGCTGTAAACTCAAGTAATGTACTGCCCCAGTCATTAGACAGTGCTCAGTGGTTGTAAACTCAAGTAATGTACTGTCCCAGTGGCTGTAAACTCAAGTAATGTACTGCCCCAGTCATTAGACAGTGGCTGTAAACTCAAGTAATGTACTGTCCCAGTGGCTGTAAACTCAAGTAATGTACTGTCCCAGTGGCTGTAAACTCAAGTAATGTACTGTCCCAGTCATTAGACAGTGGCTGTAAACTCAAGTAATGTACTGTCCCAGTCATTAGACAGTGGCTGTAAACTCAAGTAATGTACTGTCCCAGTCATTAGACAGTGGCTGTAAACTCAAGTAATGTACTGTCCCAGTCATTAGACAGTGGCTGTAAACTCAAGTAATGTACTGTCCCAGTCATTAGACAGTGCTCAGTGGCTGTAAACTCAAGTAATGTACTGCCCCAGTCATTAGACAGTGGCTGTAAACTCAAGTAATGTACTGTCCCAGTCATTAGACAGTGACTGTAAACTCAAGTAATGTACTGCCCCAGTCATTAGACAGTGCTCAGTGGCTGTAAACTCAAGTAATGTACTGTCCCAGTCATTAGACAGTGGCTGTAAACTCAAGTAATGTACTGTCCCAGTGGCTGTAAACTCAAGTAATGTACTGTCCCAGTCATTAGACAGTGGCTGTAAACTCAAGTAATGTACTGTCCCAGTCATTAGACAGTGGCTGTAAACTCAAGTAATGTACTGTCCCAGTCATTAGACAGTGGCTGTAAACTCAAGTAATGTACTGTCCCAGTGGCTGTAAACTCAAGTAATGTACTGTCCCAGTCATTAGACAGTGGCTGTAAACTCAAGTAATGTACTGCCCCAGTCATTAGACAGTGGCTGTAAACTCAAGTAATGTACTGTCCCAGTCATTAGACAGTGGCTGTAAACTCAAGTAATGTACTGTCCCAGTCATTAGACAGTGCTCAGTGGCTGTAAACTCAAGTAATGTACTGCCCCAGTCATTAGACAGTGGCTGTAAACTCAAGTAATGTACTGCCCCAGTCATTAGACAGTGCTCAGTGGCTGTAAACTCAAGTAATGTACTGTCCCAGTCATTAGACAGTGGCTGTAAACTCAAGTAATGTACTGTCCCAGTCATTAGACAGTGGCTGTAAACTCAAGTAATGTACTGTCCCAGTGGCTGTAAACTCAAGTAATGTACTGTCCCAGTCATTAGACAGTGGCTGTAAACTCAAGTAATGTACTGTCCCAGTCATTAGACAGTGGCTGTAAACTCAAGTAATGTACTGTCCCAGTCATTAGACAGTGGCTGTAAACTCAAGTAATGTACTGTCCCAGTGGCTGTAAACTCAAGTAATGTACTGTCCCAGTCATTAGACAGTGCTCAGTGGCTGTAAACTCAAGTAATGTACTGTCCCAGTCATTAGACAGTGGCTGTAAACTCAAGTAATGTACTGTCCCAGTCATTAGACAGTGGCTGTAAACTCAAGTAATGTACTGTCCCAGTGGCTGTAAACTCAAGTAATGTACTGTCCCAGTCATTAGACAGTGGCTGTAAACTCAAGTAATGTACTGCCCCAGTCATTAGACAGTGGCTGTAAACTCAAGTAATGTACTGTCCCAGTCATTAGACAGTGGCTGTAAACTCAAGTAATGTACTGTCCCAGTCATTAGACAGTGCTCAGTGGCTGTAAACTCAAGTAATGTACTGCCCCAGTCATTAGACAGTGGCTGTAAACTCAAGTAATGTACTGCCCCAGTCATTAGACAGTGCTCAGTGGCTGTAAACTCAAGTAATGTACTGTCCCAGTCATTAGACAGTGGCTGTAAACTCAAGTAATGTACTGTCCCATTGGCTGTAAACTCAAGTAATGTACTGTCCCAGTCATTAGACAGTGGCTGTAAACTCAAGTAATGTACTGTCCCAGTCATTAGACAGTGGCTGTAAACTCAAGTAATGTACTGTCCCAGTCATTAGACAGTGGCTGTAAACTCAAGTAATGTACTGTCCCAGTCATTAGACAGTGCTCAGTGGCTGTAAACTCAAGTAATGTACTGCCCCAGTCATTAGACAGTGGCTGTAAACTCAAGTAATGTACTGCCCCAGTCATTAGACAGTGCTCAGTGGCTGTAAACTCAAGTAATGTACTGTCCCAGTCATTAGACAGTGGCTGTAAACTCAAGTAATGTACTGTCCCAGTGGCTGTAAACTCAAGTAATGTACTGTCCCAGTCATTAGACAGTGCTCAGTGGCTGTAAACTCAAGTAATGTACTGTCCCAGTCATTAGACAGTGGCTGTAAACTCAAGTAATGTACTGTCCCAGTCATTAGACAGTGGCTGTAAACTCAAGTAATGTACTGTCCCAGTCATTAGACAGTGGCTGTAAACTCAAGTAATGTACTGTCCCAGTCATTAGACAGTGGCTGTAAACTCAAGTAATGTACTGTCCCAGTGGCTGTAAACTCAAGTAATGTACTGCCCCAGTCATTAGACAGTGGCTGTAAACTCAAGTAATGTACTGTCCCAGTGGCTGTAAACTCAAGTAATGTACTGTCCCAGTCATTAGACAGTGGCTGTAAACTCAAGTAATGTACTGTCCCAGTGGCTGTAAACTCAAGTAATGTACTGCCCCAGTCATTAGACAGTGGCTGTAAACTCAAGTAATGTACTGTCCCAGTCATTAGACAGTGGCTGTAAACTCAAGTAATGTACTGTCCCAGTCATTAGACAGTGGCTGTAAACTCAAGTAATGTACTGTCCCAGTGGCTGTAAACTCAAGTAATGTACTGTCCCAGTCATTAGACAGTGGCTGTAAACTCAAGTAATGTACTGTCCCAGTCATTAGACAGTGCTCAGTGGCTGTAAACTCAAGTAATGTACTGTCCCAGTCATTAGACAGTGGCTGTAAACTCAAGTAATGTACTGTCCCAGTCATTAGACAGTGCTCAGTGGCTGTAAACTCAAGTAATGTACTGTCCCAGTCATTAGACAGTGCTCAGTGGCTGTAAACTCAAGTAATGTACTGTCCCAGTCATTAGACAGTGGCTGTAAACTCAAGTAATGTACTGTCCCAGTCATTAGACAGTGGCTGTAAACTCAAGTAATGTACTGCCCCAGTCATTAGACAGTGCTCAGTGGCTGTAAACTCAAGTAATGTACTGTCCCAGTCATTAGACAGTGGCTGTAAACTCAAGTAATGTACTGTCCCAGTCATTAGACAGTGGCTGTAAACTCAAGTAATGTACTGTCCCAGTCATTAGACAGTGGCTGTAAACTCAAGTAATGTACTGCCCCAGTCATTAGACAGTGCTCAGTGGCTGTAAACTCAAGTAATGTACTGTCCCAGTCATTAGACAGTGGCTGTAAACTCAAGTAATGTACTGTCCCAGTGGCTGTAAACTCAAGTAATGTACTGTCCCAGTCATTAGACAGTGGCTGTAAACTCAAGTAATGTACTGTCCTAGTCATTAGACAGTGCTCAGTGGCTGTAAACTCAAGTAATGTACTGTCCCAGTCATTAGACAGTGGCTGTAAACTCAAGTAATGTACTGTCCCAGTGGCTGTAAACTCAAGTAATGTACTGCCCCAGTCATTAGACAGTGGCTGTAAACTCAAGTAATGTACTGCCCCAGTCATTAGACAGTGGCTGTAAACTCAAGTAATGTACTGTCCCAGTCATTAGACAGTGCTCAGTGGCTGTAAACTCAAGTAATGTACTGCCCCAGTCATTAGACAGTGGCTGTAAACTCAAGTAATGTACTGCCCCAGTCATTAGACAGTGCTCAGTGGCTGTAAACTCAAGTAATGTACTGTCCCAGTCATTAGACAGTGGCTGTAAACTCAAGTAATGTACTGTCCCAGTCATTAGACAGTGGCTGTAAACTCAAGTAATGTACTGTCCCAGTCATTAGACAGTGGCTGTAAACTCAAGTAATGTACTGTCCCAGTCATTAGACAGTGGCTGTAAACTCAAGTAATGTACTGTCCCAGTCATTAGACAGTGCTCAGTGGCTGTAAACTCAAGTAATGTACTGTCCCAGTCATTAGACAGTGGCTGTAAACTCAAGTAATGTACTGTCCCAGTCATTAGACAGTGGCTGTAAACTCAAGTAATGTACTGTCCCAGTGGCTGTAAACTCAAGTAATGTACTGTCCCAGTGGCTGTAAACTCAAGTAATGTACTGTCCCAGTCATTAGACAGTGGCTGTAAACTCAAGTAATGTACTGTCCCAGTCATTAGACAGTGGCTGTAAACTCAAGTAATGTACTGTCCCAGTCATTAGACAGTGCTCAGTGGCTGTAAACTCAAGTAATGTACTGTCCCAGTCATTAGACAGTGGCTGTAAACTCAAGTAATGTACTGCCCCAGTCATTAGACAGTGCTCAGTGGCTGTAAACTCAAGTAATGTACTGTCCCAGTCATTAGACAGTGGCTGTAAACTCAAGTAATGTACTGTCCCAGTGGCTGTAAACTCAAGTAATGTACTGTCCCAGTCATTAGACAGTGGCTGTAAACTCAAGTAATGTACTGTCCCAGTCATTAGACAGTGCTCAGTGGCTGTAAACTCAAGTAATGTACTGTCCCAGTCATTAGACAGTGGCTGTAAACTCAAGTAATGTACTGTCCCAGTCATTAGACAGTGGCTGTAAACTCAAGTAATGTACTGTCCCAGTCATTAGACAGTGGCTGTAAACTCAAGTAATGTACTGTCCCAGTCATTAGACAGTGCTCAGTGGCTGTAAACTCAAGTAATGTACTGCCCCAGTCATTAGACAGTGGCTGTAAACTCAAGTAATGTACTGCCCCAGTCATTAGACAGTGCTCAGTGGCTGTAAACTCAAGTAATGTACTGTCCCAGTCATTAGACAGTGGCTGTAAACTCAAGTAATGTACTGTCCCAGTCATTAGACAGTGGCTGTAAACTCAAGTAATGTACTGTCCCAGTGGCTGTAAACTCAAGTAATGTACTGCCCCAGTCATTAGACAGTGGCTGTAAACTCAAGTAATGTACTGTCCCAGTGGCTGTAAACTCAAGTAATGTACTGTCCCAGTGGCTGTAAACTCAAGTAATGTACTGTCCCAGTCATTAGACAGTGGCTGTAAACTCAAGTAATGTACTGTCCCAGTCATTAGACAGTGGCTGTAAACTCAAGTAATGTACTGTCCCAGTCATTAGACAGTGGCTGTAAACTCAAGTAATGTACTGCCCCAGTCATTAGACAGTGCTCAGTGGCTGTAAACTCAAGTAATGTACTGTCCCAGTCATTAGACAGTGGCTGTAAACTCAAGTAATGTACTGTCCCAGTGGCTGTAAACTCAAGTAATGTACTGTCCCAGTCATTAGACAGTGGCTGTAAACTCAAGTAATGTACTGTCCCAGTCATTAGACAGTGGCTGTAAACTCAAGTAATGTACTGTCCCAGTCATTAGACAGTGGCTGTAAACTCAAGTAATGTACTGTCCCAGTCATTAGACAGTGGCTGTAAACTCAAGTAATGTACTGTCCCAGTCATTAGACAGTGGCTGTAAACTCAAGTAATGTACTGTCCCAGTCATTAGACAGTGGCTGTAAACTCAAGTAATGTACTGTCCCAGTCATTAGACAGTGCTCAGTGGCTGTAAACTCAAGTAATGTACTGTCCCAGTGGCTGTAAACTCAAGTAATGTACTGTCCCAGTCATTAGACAGTGGCTGTAAACTCAAGTAATGTACTGTCCCAGTCATTAGACAGTGCTCAGTGGCTGTAAACTCAAGTAATGTACTGTCCCAGTCATTAGACAGTGGCTGTAAACTCAAGTAATGTACTGTCCCAGTCATTAGACAGTGGCTGTAAACTCAAGTAATGTACTGTCCCAGTGGCTGTAAACTCAAGTAATGTACTGTCCCAGTCATTAGACAGTGGCTGTAAACTCAAGTAATGTACTGTCCCAGTGGCTGTAAACTCAAATAATGTACTGTCCCAGTGGCTGTAAACTCAAGTAATGTACTGTCCCAGTGGCTGTAAACTCAAGTAATGTACTGTCCCAGTGGCTGTAAACTCAAGTAATGTACTGTCCCAGTGGCTGTAAACTCAAGTAATGTACTGTCCCAGTCATTAGACAGTGGCTGTAAACTCAAGTAATGTACTGTCCCAGTCATTAGACAGTGGCTGTAAACTCAAGTAATGTACTGTCCCAGTGGCTGTAAACTCAAGTAATGTACTGCCCCAGTCATTAGACAGTGGCTGTAAACTCAAGTAATGTACTGTCCCAGTCATTAGACAGTGCTCAGTGGCTGTAAACTCAAGTAATGTACTGCCCCAGTCATTAGACAGTGGCTGTAAACTCAAGTAATGTACTGTCCCAGTCATTAGACAGTGGCTGTAAACTCAAGTAATGTACTGCCCCAGTCATTAGACAGTGCTCAGTGGCTGTAAACTCAAGTAATGTACTGTCCCAGTCATTAGACAGTGGCTGTAAACTCAAGTAATGTACTGTCCCAGTGGCTGTAAACTCAAGTAATGTACTGTCCCAGTCATTAGACAGTGGCTGTAAACTCAAGTAATGTACTGTCCCAGTCATTAGACAGTGGCTGTAAACTCAAGTAATGTACTGTCCCAGTCATTAGACAGTGCTCAGTGGCTGTAAACTCAAGTAATGTACTGCCCCAGTCATTAGACAGTGGCTGTAAACTCAAGTAATGTACTGCCCCAGTCATTAGACAGTGCTCAGTGGCTGTAAACTCAAGTAATGTACTGTCCCAGTCATTAGACAGTGGCTGTAAACTCAAGTAATGTACTGTCCCAGTCATTAGACAGTGGCTGTAAACTCAAGTAATGTACTGTCCCAGTGGCTGTAAACTCAAGTAATGTACTGCCCCAGTCATTAGACAGTGCTCAGTGGCTGTAAACTCAAGTAATGTACTGTCCCAGTCATTAGACAGTGGCTGTAAACTCAAGTAATGTACTGTCCCAGTGGCTGTAAACTCAAGTAATGTACTGCCCCAGTCATTAGACAGTGCTCAGTGGCTGTAAACTCAAGTAATGTACTGTCCCAGTCATTAGACAGTGGCTGTAAACTCAAGTAATGTACTGTCCCAGTCATTAGACAGTGGCTGTAAACTCAAGTAATGTACTGTCCCAGTCATTAGACAGTGCTCAGTGGCTGTAAACTCAAGTAATGTACTGTCCCAGTCATTAGACAGTGGCTGTAAACTCAAGTAATGTACTGTCCCAGTCATTAGACAGTGGCTGTAAACTCAAGTAATGTACTGTCCCAGTGGCTGTAAACTCAAGTAATGTACTGTCCCAGTCATTAGACAGTGGCTGTAAACTCAAGTAATGTACTGTCCCAGTGGCTGTAAACTCAAGTAATGTACTGTCCCAGTGGCTGTAAACTCAAGTAATGTACTGTCCCAGTGGCTGTAAACTCAAGTAATGTACTGTCCCAGTGGCTGTAAACTCAAGTAATGTACTGTCCCAGTGGCTGTAAACTCAAGTAATGTACTGTCCCAGTCATTAGACAGTGGCTGTAAACTCAAGTAATGTACTGCCCCAGTCATTAGACAGTGGCTGTAAACTCAAGTAATGTACTGTCCCAGTCATTAGACAGTGCTCAGTGGCTGTAAACTCAAGTAATGTACTGTCCCAGTCATTAGACAGTGGCTGTAAACTCAAGTAATGTACTGCCCCAGTCATTAGACTGCTCAGTGGCTGTAAACTCAAGTAATGTACTGTCCCAGTCATTAGACAGTGGCTGTAAACTCAAGTAATGTACTGCCCCAGTCATTAGACAGTGGCTGTAAACTCAAGTAATGTACTGTCCCAGTCATTAGACAGTGCTCAGTGGCTGTAAACTCAAGTAATGTACTGTCCCAGTCATTAGACAGTGGCTGTAAACTCAAGTAATGTACTGTCCCAGTCATTAGACAGTGGCTGTAAACTCAAGTAATGTACTGTCCCAGTCATTAGACAGTGGCTGTAAACTCAAGTAATGTACTGTCCCAGTCATTAGACAGTGGCTGTAAACTCAAGTAATGTACTGTCCCAGTGGCTGTAAACTCAAGTAATGTACTGTCCCAGTCATTAGACAGTGGCTGTAAACTCAAGTAATGTACTGCCCCAGTCATTAGACAGTGCTCAGTGGCTGTAAACTCAAGTAATGTACTGTCCCAGTCATTAGACAGTGGCTGTAAACTCAAGTAATGTACTGCCCCAGTCATTAGACAGTGCTCAGTGGCTGTAAACTCAAGTAATGTACTGTCCCAGTCATTAGACAGTGGCTGTAAACTCAAGTAATGTACTGTCCCAGTGGCTGTAAACTCAAGTAATGTACTGTCCCAGTCATTAGACAGTGGCTGTAAACTCAAGTAATGTACTGTCCCAGTGGCTGTAAACTCAAGTAATGTACTGTCCCAGTCACTATTGGATAACTGATGGCATGTGTCAAGTTAAAACAAAATTCAGTGGGGTGTGGGTGCACCGGTGGGGTGTGGGTGCACCGGTGGGGTGTGGGTGCACCGGTGGGGTGTGGGTGCACCGGTGGGGTGTGGGTGCACCGGTGGGGTGTGGGTGCACCGGTGGGGTGTGTGTGCACCGGTGGGGTTTGGGTGCACCGGTGGGGTGTGGGTGCACCGGTGGGGTGTGGAAATTAAAAATGCCACTTACTGGTGCCCTTGGTGGCTGCTCCTCTCCCTCTACCTCCTCGTGCTCCCCTACCGCCCCCACGGCCTCTAGTGGGTGCTGTTTCACCTTCCTCCTTCTTTACATTATCTACTTGACTGATGACATCATCATCTGTTTCCTTCTTTATCTAAATACAAATTTGTATGTCAGATGACACTTAGATAACAGCTAAATGACATGTCAAAATAGTATGTCAGATGACAGCTAACTGACATGTCAAAATAGTATGTCAGATGACACTTAGATAACAGCTAACTGACATGTCAAAATAGTATGTCAGATGACAGATAACAGCTAACTGACATGTCAAAATAGTATGTCAGATGACACTTAGATAACAGCTAACTGACATGTCAAAATAGTATGTTAGATGACACTTAGATAACAGCTAACTGACACGAATGCGAAACATTTACCTACCCTTTCTTTAAATAGCTTTTTAGCAGCATCTTTGTCTCCTTTAGACTTGTGAGCAGAACTTATTTTAGGGACTATTCTTCTGCCAGCAGGGGATGGCATTGTGTCCAGAATGGCTTTTTTAGGCTTTAATTTGCCAAGTTTTCCAAGCTTAGCTGGTTTAGCATCAACACTGCCACTGTCTTTTTCTGATTCTTCAACTTCCTGGAACAATATCACATCCAATCTAAAATCTACACTAAAAATTAAACCATAGTTGTCTAATATAAACTAAACATTTAACCATAGGTGTCTAATATAAGGGGTCATCCATTTATGACGTCCACACCATTAATTTGTGTCTAAACTTAAGGGGGTGGGCTCCAGTAAAAAAAAAAATTTTAATACTAGAGAGCAAATAATTTTTTCTCTACAGCTTTATTAAGGTGCATCCGAATATGCATTTCCACTAAAAAAAATAAACTGGGAGTGATCTCCACTAAACTTTCTCGAATATTTTTATATAAAAAGACAGGGGATGGCAACTTGGGATATAGACATGATTTTTAATCCATTTTAAATAGGCCTACTTAAACTTTTTAAAATAAACCTTGTAGAAAAAAGAATTGCACACCAAGTGAACGCCAAACAAAATGTGCATAATAGTGCGGAATATTATTAGTACTTTATACATTCACATGCGTCTTTTGAGAAATCGGAAATAGCAAAAATTACTACTTCCAGTCAACGGAAATTACTCAAAATTTGACAGAAGCCAGAGAATTAGATGTTTTACTTACATATGAAGAAATAGTACTCAAGTTATAGGTTTTTGAAAAATTGAAAGTAGAAAAAGTTCCATTTCCTGTTATCGGAAAGTTGATATGGATCTACGATTTTGTTAAAATACTTATATATGAAATTTCATCAACCTAGCTGTAACGGTACTCAAGTTATCATGTTTACAGACACACGCGCACGGGCAAGATTGCAAAACTGTTTTTTATGACAACGGCGGCCATCTTGAAAATAAACCTCTTCGCAGGATTTAAACCATTCATAAAATATTTCATGTTAAGTCCAATAAACAATGAATTCATAATCTTCCATATTTTAGGGTACCGGCGCCTACCCCCTTAAAACGACGCAGATCTAGATTGAGTAAATGTAATATAATGATGTCATGTTGATTAACTTAATTTACCCTAACCCATATAATCGTTAATAACTAGACAGCCACAAATGACATTAAAATGTTCAGTCCACAGCATCTTCAATAAAATAAAGTATTGTTAATAATAATATAAGGCAGAAAAATACTATTAAATACAAAATCAAATGTTTAATATTTTGGAGTTTTTGTTTGGTATTGACAGAAACAATTAAAATAAAGCAAGCACTTACCTCATAGGGCCTAATTTGAAAGAGGATGCGTGTTGAAGGTGGGGTCTAAAATTCCTAATTTTGTGGACGTCATAAATGGATGACCCCTAACCTAAACATTTAACCACAGGTGTTATGTAAAAAAAATTAAGCATTAAACCCCGACAACTTACTTGTAAAGTAACTAGGAAAGCATCAAGGTCATCCCTCCAAAGGTCTTTGGGTGATTTTCTACGAAGACTGCGTAGTTCATCAGCCTGTAAGAAGAAAAGTTCAAGGATGTGATAAGACAATGGACATTTTTTGCAAACTGAACCCAATAAGATGTATCATAGTTAAAGTAGTATTACACCATTATTGTACTAGTTAAATACTTTAATTAAGATAATTTAAATTTTAAAAATTTCTGTTACTCTGAGAAAAAAAAAGCAATGAAAGTATTACTGGTAAGATTTGAAATGATATTGGGGATAGCGGAAATCACTAAGTTTTATTAACGTTTTCTTGTTCTATCAATAGTATTCATTTTTTACTATTTGTCTCCAGGTAAATTTTTTTTTTCAAATTACGGGCAATTGAATTATTGAAATTAAATCTGCCATTGTATCAGGCTTTACTTATAATGTAACTACTGCAGTGGTATTAAAAAAGAAAGTAGCTCCAGTGACCGGGTTGATTTTTTTAAGCATTTAAAATACATTTTTTATAGAAATAATATTACAAGTAGCATCATTTGTTTAAGTTTTTCTCGGATTAATGTAATATAGGAAATCTGAGATCTAATGATGTGTGAACCTCCTATTAGTAGAAACAATTGCCTCAATTACCTTGCTCTCTTTATGCTTGATAAGTTCATCCTTTTTCTCTTTGGTGAGGTTCCACAGTGGCATACTTAGAATATAGTTGAAGTCAGGTCCTGATTCTACTTCCTCTTCAGTGTCCATTAGATCATCCTGAAAACGTAAACCATTTCATCAGACTTTACTCTATGAGACTCAACCATTTCATCAGACTTTACTCTATGAAACTCAACCATTTCATCAGACTTTACTCTATGAGACTCAACCATTTCATCAGACTTTACTCTATGAGACTCAACCATTTCATCAGACTTTACTCTATGAGACTCAACCATTTCATCAGACTTTACTCTATGAGACTCAACCATTTCACTAGACTTTACTCTATGAGACTCAACCATTTCACCAGACTTTACTCTATGAGACTCAACCATTTCATCAGACTTTACTTTATGAAACTCAACCATTTCATCAGACTTTACTCTATGAGACTCAACCATTTCATCAGACTTTACTTTATGAAACTCAACCATTTCATCAGACTTTACTCTATGAGACTCAACCATTTCATCAGACTTTACTCTATGAGACTCAACCATTTCATCAGACTTTACTCTATGAGACTCAACCATTTCATCAGACTTTACTCTATGAGACTCAACCATTTCACCAGACTTTACTCTATGAGACTCAACCATTTCATCAGACTTTACTCTATGAGACTCAACCATTTCATCAGACTTTACTCTATGAGACTCAACCATTTCATCAGACTTTACTTTATGAAACTCAACCATTTCATCAGACTTTACTCTATGAGACTCAACCATTTCATCAGACTTTACTCTATGAGACTCAACCATTTCATCAGACTTTTTTAAAACAACTAAATATGCATTGAAAATAATTTCAGATTATATTATGCTTAACAAACCCTCCCTTACACCCCAACCAAACACCCCACCCCTACACACCTACATAAACACCCCACCCCTACTTGCCAATCAAACGACCCACCCCTACTCACCTACATACACCCCAACCAAACACCCCACCCCTACTCACCTACATAAACACCCCACCCCTACTCACCTACATAAACACCCCACCCCTACTCACCAACATAAACACCCCACCCCTACTCACCTACATAAACACCCCACCCCTACTCACCAACATAAACACCCCACCCCTACTCACCTACATAAACACCCCACCCCTACTCACCAACATAAACACCCCACCCCTACTCACCAACATAAACACCCCACCATTACACACCAACATAAACACCCCACCCCTACACACCAACATAAACACCCCACCCCTACTCACCAACATAAACACCCCACCCCTACACACCAACATAAACACCCCACCCCTACTCACCTACATAAACACCCCACCCCTACACATCAACATAAACACCCCACCCCTACACACCAACATAAACACCCCACCCCTACTCACCTACATAAACACCCCACCCCTACTCACCAACATAAACACCCCACCCCTACTCACCTACATAAACACCCCACCCCAACTCACCAACATAAACACCCCACCCCTACTCACCAACATAAACACCCCACCATTACACACCAACATAAACACCCCACCCCTACACACCAACATAAACACCCCACCCCTACTCACCAACATAAACACCCCACCCCTACACACCAACATAAACACCCCACCCCTACTCACCTACATAAACACCCCACCCCTACACATCAACATAAACACCCCACCCCTACACACCTACATAAACACCCCACCCCTACAAATCAACATAAACACCCCACCCCTACACACCAACATAAACACCCCACCCCTACACACCAACATAAACACCCCACCCCTACACACCTACATAAACACCCCACCCCTACTCACATACATAAACACCCCACCCCTACTCACATACATAAACACCCCACCCCTACACACCAACATAAACACCCCACCCCTACTCACCTACATAAACACCCCACCCCTACACACCAACATAAACACCCCACCCCTACTCACCAACATAAACACCCCACCATTACACACCAACATAAACACCCCACCCCTACACACCAACATAAACACCCCAACCCTACACACCTACATAAACACCCCACCCCTACACATCAACATAAACACCCCACCCCTACACACCAACATAAACACCCCACCCCTACACACCAACATAAACACCCCACCCCTACTCACATACATAAACACCCCACCCCTACTCACATACATAAACACCCCACCCCTACATAAACACCCCACCCCTACACACCAACATAAACACCCCACCCCTACTCACCTACATAAACACCCCACCCCTACACACCAACATAAACACCCCACCCCTACTCACCAACATAAACACCCCACCCCTACACACCAACATAAACACCCCACCCCTACACACCAATATAAACACACCACCCCTACACACCAACATAAACACCCCACCCCTACACACCAACATAAACACCCCACCCCTACACACTAACATAAACACCCCACCCCTACACATCAACATAAACACCCCACCCCTACACAAACACCCCACCCCTACACACCAACATAAACACCCCACCCCTACTCACATACACAAACACCCCACCCCTACACACCAACATAAACACCCCACCCCTACACACCAACATAAACACCCCACCCCTACTCACATACATAAACACCCCACCCCTACACACCAACATAAACACCCCACCCCTACACACCAACATAAACACCCCACCCCTACTCACCAACATAAACACCCCACCCCTACACATCAACATAAACACCCCACCCCTACACATCAACATAAACACCCCACCCCTACACACCAACATAAACACCCCACCCCTACACACCAACATAAACACCCCACCCCTACATACCAACATAAACACCCCACCCCTACTCACATACATAAACACCCCACCCCTACTCACCAACATAAACACCCCACCCCTACTCACATACATAACCCCCCCCCCCAACATAAACACACCACCCCTACTCACCAACATAAACACCCCACCCCTTCACACCAACATAAACACCCCACCCCTACACACCAACATAAACACCCCACCCCTACTCACTAACATAAACACCCCACCCCTACTCACCAACATAAACACCCCACCCCTACTCACCAACATAAACACCCCACCCCTACACACCAACATAAACACCCCACCCCTACACACCAACATAAACACCCCACCCCTACTCACATACATAAACACCCCACCCCTACACACCAACATAAACACCCCACCCCTACACATCAACATAAACACCCCACCCCTACACAAACACCCCACCCCTACACATCAACACAAACACCCCACCCCTACACATCAACATAAACACCCCACCCCTACACACCAACATAAACACCCCACCCCTACACACCAACATAAACACCCCACCCCTACACACCAACATAAACACCCCACCCCTACTCACATACATAAACACCCCACCCCTACTCACCAACATAAACACCCCCCCCCCAACATAAACACACCACCCCTACTCACCAACATAAACACCCCACCACTACACACCAACATAAACACCCCACCCCTACACACCAACATAAACACCCCACCCCTACTCACCAACATAAACACCCCACCCCTACTCACCAACATAAACACCCCACCCCTACTCACCAACACAAACACCCCACCCCTACACACCAACATAAACACCCCACCCCTACTCACATACATAAACACCCCACCCCTACTCACCAACATAAACACCCCACCCCTACTCACATACACAAACACCCCACCCCTACACACCAACATAAACACCCCACCCCTACACACCAACATAAACACCCCACCCCTACACACCAACATAAACACACCCTGCCCCTCACTAACACCCTATAGGCCTGCTCAGCCTGTACAGGTACATTCTAGTTCTACCTAGTGAGGGAGAGCTAAAAATGGTTTCTATTATGCATGATTTCTGTTGAAAATACTTTATTTAGATTGCTTTAGTTTATTGTTTTTTTATGACTCTAAAAATATATTTATGTTTAATAAATAATAATGGCCTACCAATGTCGAAGTTATTTATATTAGTTAAGCTTGATAAACAAACACAAAAATAGCACATAGCGACTAGTCATATCAAACAAAATCTAAATACACATGAACATGCACATTTAGTTACTCAGCACATAGTGACTACAGGCAAGTGAGCTTAACACTACAGACTATGAAGGAAACATGAGCTTAACACTACAGACTACACCTGAGGGTAGGAAACAGCTTAACACTACAGACTATAAAGGAAACATGAGCTTAATACTACAGACTATACTTGGGGGGAGGAAACATGAGCTTAACACTACAGACTATAAAGGAAACATGAGCTTAACACCACAGACTATACTTGAGGGAAGGAAACATGAGCTTAACACTACAGACTACACCTGAGGGTAGGAAACAGCTTAACACTACAGACTATAAAGGAAACATGAGCTTAACACCACAGACTATACTTGAGGGAAGGAAACATGAGCTTAACACCACAGACTATACTTGAGGGAAGGAAACATGAGCTTAACACCACCAACTAGAGATAAGAAAACATGAGCTTAACACAACAGACTTTTACTTACATTTTTGGATGAGTCCTTTGCATAAATAAAAAAGGTAGAGTAAGTTGGTATTCCATAATAAAGGTGGCCTTATTTTTTGACAAGAAAGAGGTAGTGATATTTTGTGACACCCATCAAAGTGGTGGCCTTACCTTCCCCTTGTTCTGAGCTTCCTTCCAAGCCTTAACTGGGTCAGAGTCATAACCTTTTCTCACCAATGTTTGTATAAGTTCTTTCTTTGGTTTGTTTTCTATCAACAAAATACATTACAAATACATTACTTTTGGTTTATGTTCAACAAGGTACATTCTCAACACATTAGAATAACTCTATGAATGACAAAAGCCCTTGATCTACAACATCATGTTTATCCTGGGGCAGATCAAGTGTGTCCAGACAGTGTTGGTGGAACAAAAAATAAATAAACAACAACTGACCAATAACAATGGTCCCTTCAATTTTTTCAATGATAAATCTGGCAATGTTGTCCAGTTTGAGAGATTCAGCTGACAGCATCCCTTCTAGGTAATCTTTCCTTCTATGATAGAAATTTAGGCGAACAGAGTAAAATTCTTTTAAAATATCTTGCACCCCATCATAACGTTTAATGCAGCCTTCACTGTTGAACAAAACCTGATTTGAAAGAAAGAAAAAAATGATGAGTATACAAGTTTAAACTAAAAAAAACATTTTAAGTTAATATTTTCTTAACTATGGATAGGTTAATTTTTTATTGAACAAATTTTAAATGTCATTTTATTTTATCATTCAAAAACAGTGTTGATAAACACCTTATTGTCACAAACTGTTAAGTTGTGCACTATTTATGACAAGTCTTTTAGTCATGTAGAGGAAGGTCACAAACTGTAGTAAAAATGTATTGGCTATTTACCATACTGCCAGTAGAGATGGTACTGGAGAGCTTGAACAGTTTATGCAGACCTTCTTGTTCATATTGGGCCAGTTTCTCAGGTGCCATTTTAACAATAAACTTGATAGTAGAGTCTGTGTTATATTCTTTGTAGTCTCTGAAATTAACATTTTTAAGAGAGTGATGTGTGAAAGACCTTCTGTGTGTAAAAGACATGTCTATGTGATTGACGTGTGAAAGACATTTCAGTCTGACTAACATGTCTTATTTGATACTGCAAGAAACCAAACAAAAGAAAATTAAGCAAAAAATGTTTTTTAATTTCAGAATAATTTTAATAATGATTATGTTGAAACAGTTTATAAAATCAAATAATATTTGAATCAGGAGAAGGATAATGTTTTGGAGCAGTATTTATTTATATACTCTAAGTAGTTTTATCTGCCTAGAGGGTTCTGTAATATTGATCAAATGGTACAGCCAAGTCAATTCTAATTTTTTTTTAAAGCTTAAGCAGATTAAAACTTCACTATCAAAAAAATGTCATATTTTTTTCATCATCTGATATGCAAAAAGACATAAGAGAACAGGTTCAGAAGCCCATGCTTTCTCACAGTTGACTTAGCTGGTAGAGCACAGCAGCAAAGGAAAAAACATCAATGGTGGGTGGGAGTGCTGAGACTCACCATATGAGAGGTGGCTGTTTCTCAGATTGGGTGGGACAGCTGAGACTCACGTTATGAGAGGTGGCTGTTTCTCAGATTGGGTGGGACAAGGAGTGCTGAGACTCACGTTATGAGAGGTGGCTGTTTCTCAGATTGGGTGGGACAAGGAGTGCTGAGACTCACGTTATGAGAGGTGGCTGTTTCTCAGATTGGGTGGGACAGCTGAGACTCACGTTATGAGAGGTGGCTGTTTCTCAGATTGGGTGGGACAAGGAGTGCTGAGACTCACGTTATGAGAGGTGGCTGTTTCTCAGATTGGGTGGGACAAGGAGTGCTGAGACTCACGTTATGAGAGGTGGCTGTTTCTCAGATTGGGTGGGACAGCTGAGACTCACGTTATGAGAGGTGGCTGTTTCTCAGATTGGGTGGGACAGCTGAGACTCACGTTATGAGAGGTGGCTGTTTCTCAGATTGGGTGGGACAAGGAGTGCTGAGACTCACGTTATGAGAGGTGGCTGTTTCTCAGATTGGGTGGGACAGCTGAGACTCACGTTATGAGAGGTGGCTGTTTCTCAGATTGGGTGGGACAAGGAGTGCTGAGACTCACGTTATGAGAGGTGGCTGTTTCTCAGATTGGGTGGGACAAGGAGTGCTGAGACTCACGTTATGAGAGGTGGCTGTTTCTCAGATTGGGTGGGACAGCTGAGACTCACGTTATGAGAGGTGGCTGTTTCTCAGATTGGGTGGGACAGCTGAGACTCACGTTATGAGAGGTGGCTGTTTCTCAGATTGGGTGGGACAAGGAGTGCTGAGACTCACGTTATGAGAGGTGGCTGTTTCTCAGATTGGGTGGGACAGCTGAGACTCACGTTATGAGAGGTGGCTGTTTCTCAGATTGGGTGGGACAAGGAGTGCTGAGACTCACGTTATGAGAGGTGGCTGTTTCTCAGATTGGGTGGGACAAGGAGTGCTGAGACTCACGTTATGAGAGGTGGCTGTTTCTCAGATTGGGTGGGACAGCTGAGACTCATGTTATGAGAGGTGGCTGTTTCTCAGATTGGGTGGGACAGCTGAGACTCACGTTATGAGAGGTGGCTGTTTCTCAGATTGGGTGGGACAGCTGAGACTCACGTTATGAGAGGTGGCTGTTTCTCAGATTGGGTGGGAGTGCTGAGACTCACGTTGTGAGAGGTGGCTGTTTCTCAGATTGGGTGGGACAAGGAGTGCTGAGACTCACGTTATGAGAGGTGGCTGTTTCTCAGATTGGGTGGGACAAGGAGTGCTGAGACTCACGTTATGAGAGGTGGCTGTTTCTCAGATTGGGTGGGACAGCTGACTCACGTTATGAGAGGTGGCTGTTTCTCAGATTGGGTGGGACAAGGAGTGCTGAGACTCACGTTATGAGAGGTGGCTGTTTCTCAGATCCATGCAACATAACCTCCAGCACATCTTCCTTGTAATTCTGTGTCCAGGTCTTGATGGGCAGCTCTGTGATCTCCAGAGTACTCTCATTGATGACAGAGATCTCACCATGGACAGCATATCTTCCATCACCAGACCCTATCTCTTCTATCTGACCCTTGAAACCTTTGTATGATGGAAGCTGAAACCAGACACCAGTAGAGGGACAACACTTAAAACCAGTTCATACAAAAGCTCTCTCTTTAAAACTACGCATGACACCTATTTACAATAAATATAACAAACAAACACTGGACACATACAAATGTATTTCCATTTTTGACCTATTAAAGTATGATTGAAATATTTGCAGCTTGGCTTGAGCAAAGATATTTCATCTGAATGCCCTTTTGTCAGTAACTTCCAAAATATAAGCTTTTTCTCACTCTCTTATTTTGTGTTTTACATCCAGATGAACAATTGCTGGACCTTTGTAAATGAACTCTTAATCAGCTTGAAGAAATAGACCTATGGAGTTTGGTTCAAAACAGTGCCAAGTGATGGTACAAATTATTTCTATTGGAACACAAGATAATCCTTTAAAATGTTCAAACTGTTGACTCCCACACCTGTTCACATAATAATGCTTGAACCTACCATTGATATAGAGCTTAACCCCTACCTCTCATGTCTCAACTGCTATGCTTGAACCTACCATTGATATAGAGCTTAACCCCTACCTCTCATGTCTAAACTGCTATGCTTGAACCTACCATTGGTATAGAGCTTAACCCCTACCTCTCATGTCTCAACTGCTATGCTTGAACCTACCATTGATATAGAGCTTAACCCCTACCTCTCATGTCTAAACTGCTATGCTTGAACCTACCATTGATATAGAGCTTAACCCCTAATGTCTAAACTGCTATGCTTGAACCTACCATTGGTAATGGTTCTTCATCATCCAGCATCCTCCTGATGTTGGCAACTATTTCTCTCACATCATAGTTTGGAATTTTTGTAGACCAGCCAGTGCCTATGCCCTCAGCACCATTGACAAGTACCATGGGTAGAATGGGACAGTACCATTCAGGTTCAATCTTCTGATTGTCATCATATAAATTCACTAGTAAGGCATCGTCATTGGCATTGAAAACATGTCTGGCCAAAGGGCTGAAAATAGATAGCTACAAATGTCATCAATAATATCAGTTTAGTGGATATAAGTGTGTAAGCAGCAGTTGTGTATGTATGAGCAGGGAACATACAGTCTACCATGTCAATAAATATAAGCCTAGCCAACAACTGACCTCAACATTGTGAAGATGTAACGGGGACTAGCTGCATCTTTCCCACCATGTATACGTGTTCCAAACTGTCCCAAGGGCTGGAGGAGATTCAAGTTATTACTGCCAACAAAGTTCTGGGCCAAGTTAATGATGGTCCCCATCAAGCTAACTTCACCATGATGATAGGCTGATTGCTCAGCTACAGAACCAGCTAACTGGGCTACTTTCAGTTCTTTGTTCACCAGGTTTCTTTTGATGCAGGTAAAGATCACTTTTCTCTGACCTAACAACATGTTAGTACACAACATAACTCAAACTGAACATAAAACATGACAACATTTTAGTACACAACATAACTCAAACTGAACATAAAGAATAACAGTACATCACACTAAGCCTTACATAAAACATGACAACAAACCATGACACAATTTGACAACAAAACATGACACAACCTGACAACCATGACACAATTTGACAACAAAACATGACACAACCTGACAACAAACCATGACACATCCTGACAACAAACCATGACACAATTTGACAACAAACCATGACACATCCTGACAACAAACCATGACACATCCTGACAACAAACCATGACACATCCTGACAACAAACCATGACACATCCTGACAACAAACCATGACACATCCTGACAACAAACCATGACACAATTTGACAACAAACCATGACACATCCTGACAACAAACCATGACACAATTTGACAACAAACCATGACACATCCTGACAACAAACCATGACACATCCTGACAACAAACCATGACACATCCTGACAACAAACCATGACACAATTTGACAACAAACCATGACACATCCTGACAACAAACCATGACACAATTTGACAACAAACCATGACACATCCTGACAACAAACCATGACACAATTTGACAACAAACCATGACACATCCTGACAACAAACCATGACACAATTTGACAACAAACCATGACACATCCTGACAACAAACCATGACACAATTTGACAACAAACCATGACACATCCTGACAACAAACCATGACACAATTTGACAACAAACCATGACACATCCTGACAACAAACCATGACACAATTTGACAACAAACCATGACACATCCTGACAACAAACCATGACACATCCTGACAACAAACCATGACACATCCTGACAACAAACCATGACACATCCTGACAACAAACCATGACACATCCTGACAACAAAACAAGACACAACCTGACAATAAACCATAACACAACCTAACAACAAAACATAAAGTCCTTAACAGTAAGGAGCCTTGATCTAGACTAATTTGAAACTTTTAGTTCATGGGATGGAAAATGAAATTGACCAGCCTAGCCTAGATCTAGACTCATTTGAAGCTTTTAGTTCATGGGATGGAAAATGAAATTGACCAGCCTAGCCTAGATCTAGACTCATTTGTAGCTTTTAGTTCATGGGATGGAAAATGAAATTGACCAAATTAGCTGAAATTAGAAAGGGTCTGATATTTATTTCAAAAAGTGTTGTGAAATTTATATACGTAAAAACATTTGAACCACAATTATTTAATTGACCATTTTGAATGATACTAAAGATATGCTTTCCGTCCCGCCAAAAGCGAGATTATTCCACTTTTTTGCACAGATATAACCGTACTAGATAGTAGATTTACTGTTACGATATTGATCTTTCTAGATATAACCGTACTAGATAGTAGATTTACTGTTACGATATTGATCTATCTAGATATAACCGTACTAGATAGTAGATTTACTGTTACGATATTGATCTATCTAGATATAACCGTACTAGATAGTAGATTTACTGTTACGATATTGATCTTTCTAGATATAACCGTACTAGATAGTAGATTTACTGTTACGATATTGATCTATCTAGATATAACCGTACTAGATAGTAGATTTACTGTTACGATATTGATCTATCTAGATATAACCGTACTAAATAGTAGATTTACTGTTACGATATTGATCTATCTAGATATAAACGTACTAGATAGTAGATTTACTGTTACGATATTGATCTATCTTTTAAGTTCTAACTAGAAATGAAGAAGTTAGAAGTGACTAGGACTTTTACTAGGTAGATCTAGGTCTTAGCTCTTAACTTATATATTATATTACAAACACTTAAATAATTTTATGTCAAAGCTATGGTTTTTATGGGGGGGGGGGGGGGGGGGGGGGGGTCACAGGTGACTGGTTAACTTCTTTTAATGTAAGCTGACATTAAAAAAAAGCAGTATTTAAAGAAGCGTCCGTGAATATGTTCCTCTTTTTGGCTTCAAATTCATCTTTTTAGGCATGACAGTTCCTACTTTTGGCCGAGAGGGGTAGGCATGTTTGATGATAGCCAAGCCACATCATTATTATTGCTTTTGGAATAACTGTACAGTTATTAAAAAGAGGTCAGTATCATACTGTAGATTGGTTAGCTTTAAAAAAAAGAGGGTGAGTTAGATAAATTAGACCATAGACTAACACGCATGCAGGGGTGCCACTCATTTTCTAAGTGAATCCTGAAAATGAATCCCAAAATTTTACCAATCCTGAAACTAAAATTTGAAATTTTTGAAACCCTGAAACTTAATTTCGCGCGGAATTTTAAAATAAAATGGACTATTATTTCATTATTTTTTGAGACATTTGATTCATATTATGTTCAATTTACATTCCTTTAAAATGGATTTATTTTCTTTGTAACAAGCTTGAAATAAAAATTAATCTTTAAAGGATTGTGCTTACAACAAAATTAGTTTACAATGTTAGTCCCACCCATCTCTAGGCCTACCCCATAATGTGCTATTGTAGAACTCCCCCCCCCCCCTCCCAGCCAGCTTTTATAACATTACTGTATTTAATTTTTGAGAACTTCCTAGCTTGATTTAAAGTGTGTAGTCAGCCAATTGCTAACCTCTATGTCTTGTTATTGAATAATAAGCGCACTATATGCAGACCCCTAATAAGATTGTCACTGTATTAAAATACAGGGTTGACTTACTGTAGCTATTCAAGGCTTTAATTATTAACAGCCACAACAAAAACCTAAAACCCTGTTTTCCCAATCAACCACCAATGGGGTCATCCATAAATGATGTCACGCTTTTTTTACGATTTTTACCTCCCACCTCCCCTCGGTCACATATCTGTCATTGGATAATGCAAAAGTGTGATGTAACACCATCTGAACCCCTCCCCCTCATGACAAAATTACGAACCCCCCTCCCCTTACGAGTGTGACGTCATTTATGAACGACCCCAACGCCCCCACCATTGATATACATGATGACGTGAAGAAATATCGTGGAAGTTTTAAGTCCATATCGCGGAATAACAGAATTAAGTTAATTTTAAAAATAATTTTAGTAGTAACTACGCTAGTAATACTCATGTCAGATATGTAGCCGCCCGACTAAGTGAAAAGCTGATTTTTTTTTACAAGCGGTTGGGAGGGGGCAGTGATAGCGGCTATTTTCTCAGACACGGTACTTCAAGGTTTTTTAAACATTTCAATGACGTTTTACCAAAGTAAAAAAAAACAATTAGATGTAGACCCTGCTAGATTGTGTAACTAAATTATAGCAGGCCTACATATTTTGTTTAATGATATAAAACGATGCAGTTCTAGTTTTTTTTTTCTTGAATCTAGAAGTAGGCCCTTATTAAAAATAACCACGACTCAGACTGTGTTTGCGTGGTCTCGTGACGTAGGTCTTACGGTCAGCGCGACCTTGAAGAAGCGGGTAAGAGGTGGTAAAAATACATAAAATAGTCCTTCAAATAGTTTTTTTCTTTTCTTTTGGTAATACCAAATACAAAAATTTTTTTTTTTTTTATCGGAGCAAAATCTTTCGGTTTTTTTTTTTAAAGACCATCGGCGATGCTAGTGAGCTTGATCTAGTACAGGGGTCTCCAAACTACGGCCCGCGGGCCGGATGCGGCCCGCGAGGTCCTCTCATCCGGCCCGCGGAGATCTTTTTGTCCATGGTAAAAACGTTTGTTGGTGATGGCTGAGGAACTTTGCCCAGAAAAATCAAAGATATATCCGGAAGAAACTGGCCCCCGAACTGAAATTTAATAGTTAATGTGGCCCTCGGACTGAAAAGTTTGGAGACCCCTGATCTAGTACTTGTAGGATTTAGTTGTTTTTATTACACAGCCTAGCGGTATCCCATTGATGACATCACGTAAATAATGCGAGTTTTACCCCCAACCCATATCGTCATAAATAGCCACACCACGAATGACATCATAAAGTTTCGTCTACAGCCTCACCCATCTGATACAGCCGATTTGTATTTGGTCCTTGGCGCACGCGTGAGATTGTTGCTGACGTCATTTACTATTCATTTTTTCCGGAAAAGGCCATTAGCGGGAGTGTTGACGATAAAAACGATTTTTACAATGCCAAAATTTTCAAGCTTAAAACGATCTAAATTTTTTTTTTAAATGCAAACCCGGAAATTTTCAAACTCAAATCTTGCGAATCCGGAAAGGGAAAAAAATATGATTCTCGAATCCGGAAATCCGGGATATCCCGGAAAAGTGGCACCCCTGCGCATGCGAGATTAACTGTTAAGAGACCAGGCTCTGGGAAATGTACATTTCATTTAAATAGCGGCAAAAAATTTTAATTTCCTTTTTCTGTATTTTTAAAATAACTACTTAACAGATAATGCTATCTGAAAACTTCAAAAAAACTGCAAAAAAATCTGCTGAAAATTTTAGAGAAAATGAAATAAGCGAAGAAAAGTTGCCGGTTAAACAGAAAAATCGGATTTCTATTACAAATCGGAATAGTCACATCCCTGCATTACACAACCAAATAAAACATTACACAACCAAATAACAAAACATTACACAACCAAATAACAAAACATTATACAACCAAATAACAAAACATTACACAACCAAATAACAAAACATTACACAACCAAATAACAAAACATTACACAACCAAATAACTAAACATTATACAACCAAATAACATAACATTACAGAAATTGACAACAAAACCTGACAAAAAACCATTCAACCTAAAAAAAGATTTCCCACAAGCTATGTACTCACCTGGTTTAAGTCCATCCAGAAGTGAAGGAATAGATCGAATGATATCTGTGTTGCTAAAGAGAATCAATTCCCGGTTGACAAATTCACTGAATGTGATACTTCTAGTGTTTTTTCCATACAAATACAGCTGTTTTGAGAAAATCAAACAGTCAGGTCAAATAGCTGTAGAACTGTCAGGTCAAACAGCTGTAGAACAGTCAGGTCAAACAGCTGTAGAACAGTCAGGTCAAACAGCTGTAGAACAGTCAGGTCAAACAGCTGTAGAACAGTCAGGTCAAACAGCTGTAGTACAGTCAGGTCAAACAGCTGTAGAACAGTCAGGTCAAACAGCTGTAGAACAGTCAGGTCAAACAGCTGTAGAACAGTCAAACAGCTGAAGAACAGTCAGGTCAAACAGCTGTAGAACAACAAGGTCAAACAGCTGTAGAACAGTCAAACAGCTGTAGAACAGTCAGGTCAAACAGCTGTAGAACAGTCAGGTCAAATAGCTGTAGAACAGTCAGGTAAGTAAGCCACTGTAGAAGTCAAATGAGACTAAAAAAAATACAATGTTAACCCTTTAATGCCTGAATTATGTCCCAAGCATGTAAAACAATATTTTCTCTCATACTGCCACTAATTTTGAGTTATCTTGTTTTTACATTTGGACTTATTTTTTATGCTAATTCCAGTATGTTGCGAAGGCACAATTGGACAAAAAAGTCATTTAAAAAAATTGTAGTCTGGGTCATTTTACTATTTTTACCAACATGTGTTTCTCTAAATAATAGAATATAACAAACTAAACATACGGACATGCAAGGAGATGTAGACTCACTTGAACTATAGTTGTAGTTGCTCAGGCATAGAGTTACAGAACTCTGCTGCACCTGCTCACGTTATGTCGCTTACGAATGGGTAGTTGGAAACATTGCTGTCATGGTTTTTCTACTACACCACAGTAACACACTACATATTAAAGGATTTCCTCAATGTGTATAGCCTTAGTTGTCCCTGGTTACACCCTTTTCTTGAACTCCTATTCAAGGTCAACTAATAAAGACATTTCTCATTTGACCTATATTTGTTATACACACAAAGCATGTGAACAAATACTGTCAAATAATGACAGTGTTCAGCCGTTGTATATTCTTCCATGCTCAATGCAGCTGCTGTGGGTACTTAGTGTCACGGCTTTTGTTGATGGTACCCAACATTTCTGCTTTTGGTACCACGTGCTACAGCTGTTGTACTCAAATGATACTGCTATGGGTACCCAATGCTGTGGGTACTGAGTGCTGAAACAGTGGGTACAGAGTGAAGCCATGTGTACTCAGTGCTGAAGATGTGGGTACTCAATAACACTGCTTTTGGTAAAGCCAGTATAATGCCACTGATGTGGGTACTCAATAGCACTGCTTTTGGTACTTAAAGCCAGTATAATGCCACTGATGTGAGTACTCAATAGCACTGCCATGGGTACTTTTGTCAGCATTCAACCTATCTGTATTATTGTCATGGTCACTGTGAAGACCTATCTTTCAGGTATCCAGGATAATGGTCCACCACCTCACTTGCTGTTGTCTATTTTTTATGTTCTCCTAATATTTTTCAATGCTATTTCAAAGCTACCCCCAGCAGCATGATCACATTATTCCAACATCACTCTCTCTCCATATCCTAAATTCATTAAATTGTACCCAGCAGCATGATCACATTATTACAACATCACTCTCTCTCCATATCCTAAATTCATTAAATTGTACCCAGCAGCATGATCACATTATTACAACATCACTCTCTCTCCATATCCTAAATTCATTATATTGTACCCAGCAGCATGATCACATTATTACAACATCACTCTCTCTCCATATCCTAAATTCATTAAATTGTACCCAGCAGCATGATCACATTATTCCAACATCACTCTCTCTCCATATCCTAAATTCATTATATTGTACCCAGCAGCATGATCACATTATTCCAACATCACTCTCTCTCCATATCCTAAATTCATTATATTGTACCCAGCAGCATGATCACATTATTACAACATCACTCTCTCTCCATATCCTAAATTCATTATATTGTACCCAGCAGCATGATCACATTATTACAACATCACTCTCTCTCCATATCCTAAATTCATTAAATTGTACCCAGCAGCATGATCACATTATTCCAACATCACTCTCTCTCCATATCCTAAATTCATTATATTGTACCCAGCAGCATGATCACATTATTCCAACATCACTCTCTCTCCATATCCTAAATTCATTATATTGTACCCAGCAGCATGATCACATTATTACAACATCACTCTCTCTCCATATCCTAAATTCATTATATTGTACCCAGCAGCATGATCACATTATTACAACATCACTCTCTCTCCATATCCTAAATTCATTATATTGTATCCAGCAGCATGATCACATTATTACAACATCACTCCATATGCCAGGATCAATAAAAATGGACAGAAACGTTCTAAAGTGTACTTTTATATTTAGGCAAAGACTATACTGAAAATCTTTACCTTATTTATAATCATTCTTGAAGAAATGACAGCTTGGTGAGGCATCTAATTTTGCTACACAGACAGCAGTAGGATAAATGTACCTATGCGCATAAGCTAAGGGCAAATCAGTATGTCGCGTTTTAGGGAGAGTCGGCATTAAGGGGTTAAAGGTAAACTGAGTCCGACCTAAAGCTGTTAGTTAAACCAACCTCTGGTAAACCCATCTCTGTTCTCCTCTTCTTCTCTTCCATGTGATTAGTCAACCATTCTTTTCTCTCCTCAATTTTTTTCTTGCTAAATGCTAGGTTAATGGCAGAATCATCCTCTGCCCCACTGTAAGCAAATGGAATTCTGTGGCGCTGCATGTCACTAAAATATTCTTTAGCTTCCTTGGAAGTGGAAGTGCCCAAACCTGGAACAGGAATAAACAAGGAATAGAGTTCTGTAACAAAAAACAAATAGCCCTGTAGCCTTACTTAACTATTCTCTTCATCTAACACTTTATTCATCATTTAATAACCACTTCTCATTTTGCATAAATGCCTGTGCAAGTGCCAAAACTAAAATGATGTAGATGTACTCAGGGACCTCCTACAGACTTGAACACTTAGCAGTCTAACATGCAACTACTTTGTCCATGGCAAAAATGTCTTCAACTAAGTCATATACTGAGATCAGCATGCCTGACCACATTTCTGTTACATACATAAAATAGCCTTTAAAATATGCCTTTTCCTTTGTTTTAAGAAAATAGAAGAAAAAATGAATCAGCAGAAAAGTCCTAAGACATTGTGAACGGATATATCTCACAACAAAAATGTTACACCTCTAGAAAAGGGCTTTATTTTTAATGCAATTAATATAGTGATATAAAAAAAATAGAACTTATTAAAAATAAATTGTCTATTACTAGGTTCGATTTTATATGCATTTATTATTTTACAATATTAATCTAGATTCAAACATAATTATTATTGGTGTAATACACAAAGGGAGTTTGATTCTATTTTTTAAAAGGTTGAAAAGTCAGAAAAAAAATATTTTGGGCCCTTAGCAGGAAGTCTAAATTGAGAAATGACAAAAAAAAAAAAACCTTTGTAATACTTGACTTTATATGTATGCCAGTTGTCTGTTTCTCTTTTCCACTCTTCAAACTCGGGCAAGCTGTAAAAGGAACGCTCTGTGTTGCCTTTGCTCACCTGAAATATGTCAACACACTCATTATAGAGCAAAACCAATGTCAACAGCTAGACTCACTAGAGTGAAAGGATGATTTGATACAATCCTGCCGTGACATTAAAACTTGATGAACACACTAAGTAAAACTTGATGAACACACTAAGTAAAACTTGATGAACACGCTAAGTAAAACTTGATGAACACGCTAAGTAAAACTTGATGAACACGCTAAGTAAAACTTGATGAACACGCTAAGTAAAACTTGATGAACACGCTAAGTAAAACTTGATGAACACGCTAAGTAAAACTTGATGAACACGCTAAGTAAAACTTGATGAACACGCTAAGTAAAACCTGATGAACACACTAAGTTACATTGTAACTTTCATCAACTGACTGGGTGGTAACACCTTTTAAATTAAACTAGCGTGCCCATCCCAGCGCAATGCTGCAGGGTTAGAAGAAAGTCCAAGGATAGCTAGAGGCAAACAGCGCCCGATTCAGTTTAGTGAACGACTATAATGCCACATTGTATCCATAGTATATTGCACTGTTTGAATGTAGGCACCGTAGGCACCATAGCGCTCACGGGATAGCTTGGGGCGCCTAATTGCACTCTGCTGGGGCGCCACCTGTGCGAAACTGAATTTTTTTTTTGCAGAATCCTCCCCAGGAGTATTCTCAACAATTTACTAAAGTTTGATGGCGGCCTGATGAAAGATGCAGTAATGCATAAAAGAAAAAATTTGACTAAATATATTAGGAAGGTTTCATCAATGCTTTAGCAATCCTTGTTTTCTAAAACTGAGTTATTGAAAGGTAAACAAGGTAGCAATTGGATCATATTGCACTGTTTAAAAAGAATGTAGGTGCTATATGGCTCACTGTAGTGACCAAGTGAAAGGAGGCTGAAGAGGGGTGAATGTTGTTGTACCAGTTACCCTATTCCGTTTGTCCCTATTCGTACTTGTGCTGTGAGTTATAATAGTCCCGTTTGTACCAGTTTATGAAAGGGTACATAAGGTGTATGAAAACGTGTGTGATTGCCTCAGTTTTGTCCAGATCTCTAAGGTTAGTATAGGTTAAGTCTATACTAGTATTTAGCAAATGTATCAGTTTTACTAGCTTGTGTATTTTGTGTTTAGAATAGACTGTGTTAGGTGTAGATAGTGTAGATATCATTAACCATTAATGTCCCATTCATTCTACCAAAACTCCACCCATGACGGCCCAATGTAAGGAGCATAACTCTGTATGATCAAGTGAATAGTTTCACAAAATATTTGTTTTTGTCTAAATGAAATTGAAAATTAAGATAAAAACTACTGCTTAATGTTGGGAATAAACCTGGCTTTCCAACAGTATTAAATAGAATATATTATATTCGGTACAAGTACAGAATAAAAATAAAAAATGTCGGAGAAAATTCAAAACAGGTCATTTTCGGTAGTCAACTTTATTTATTTTTGTCTAAACAACTATGCATCGAATTTAACAGTTAAATATCAATTTGATTATCTTTAAGATATATAATTCATAAAATACATGCCTAGATACGTTTAGAGGCATTATTTTATTTTATTTTTAATATTAAATCAACTAAAAATTGGACAGATGAGTCTAAAATTTCGAGATGGAAAGAAACTATTATTTTTTATCTTTCAAAAGATAAATTAGAAATTAGAAGACCGGAAAAGGATGCTGAAACTATCCGACTTCCTGTTTAGTTAAAAATTAGGATTTGTAGGCCAAATTTTAATGAAACAAATTTAATTTTTCTTTGCGTATTGTAAGCGGGCGGCAGCGGGCGTTACGGGACATTAACGGTGTCGGGCGGCAGCGGGCGTTACGGGACATTAATGGTTAAATTCTTTTAGTTTTAACGAGCCTTTTTCATTCAGTATTATTTTGTAACCCGTTTGTGGTTGCTTGTCTTATATGTGGCGATACGCATTGGATTACCTGTAAGGCATGTCCAGGTGTTCACAGCATATAATTATATATTACAATTCAACTTTTATTTTTTTATACATTGTATATAGAGAAAAATCTCACTCTCCAGAAATTTAAAAGATTTTTGCGGAAACTTCCCCTGAAGTGTTCTCATCACCTCCCCAAAGATTCATGGCGATTGGATGAACAGTGTCAAACAGCAATCAACTTTTATTGTTATAGACAGTATATGGAGAATAATCGTATCGCGCACTGCAGGAGCGCCACCCTGGCAAATTTTACTTTTTTTTGCGGAAACCTCTCCAGGAGTATTCTCAACAACATCCCAAACTTTCATTGCAATTGGATGAAAGAGGTAGTAATGCATAAAAGACAAACAGAAAGACGAACATACAATGCTTTTTATATATATATATAGATACTGTGACGGTAAAACCGTTTAGGCCTAGCTCCACGTTATTCTTACACCACCCTCTACCTGCTCTATTACTCTCCCCCCCCCCCCCCTCTCTACAACTACGTACATTCCTATCTTTCGTCCCCCTCACAGGCTCCTCTCTAGTTTGCTAGATTGTCCACGTGACACACCGCCAATTTTAATGCATATAAGGGGATGCAACAAAGAAATTCTCGCACTCTTCCAGCACTGAGCTCAGCTGGTGGTGTCGCACGCAGCATTTGGGCCGTCGGCCCTACTCCTACGTGTATGGTTTTGTATTATCTATTTTAGCTCATTTTATAATAACTACATTGTTTCTAACCCATAAGTATATGTGTAATTCATATTTTTAAGTTTTAAAAGTATAATAAATAAAATTGTACTATTGCAGTAACTTTGTGTTTTTAAGTAACTTATTGTTATTATTTTACTACAGGCCGTAAACTGCGGGCATTGAGTTAACCCGTAGTCATCGGACCTGATATTTTATTTGATACACCGGCCGTAAACCCTTGCCAGAGTCAAGAGGTCATCAGACCAGGTTGTTATTACTTTAAGGCTGTAAACTGCGCACATTGAATTGTAGCGTAGTCATCAGACCTTCAGCTCGCCACTATTAAGTTTACTTATTACTATCACTGCATTAGCTGCTGAAACTTTATTATTACTTGACCCTGGTCCATGACTTAGTTCACGTGACAGTTGAATACATACTTTAAAATACATTTACTATATTCCCGGTAGAGAAGCGGTTCAGACCCTCCTACCACTTGAATTCACGCATTTTACTGATTATCACAATTAATACTAATACGCTACCAATATTACTACATTTTTTCCTTTTACCGTTAACAGATACAGTATATTCTATAGCTACAGTCAGTGAGCGAAATCATGAAAAACCGATTTGTTTTTCAATGGTCGCTTTGTTTGACCACTTTCTAATGTCACTCCATGTTCATTCAAAAGATCCAATACCTTAAAGTACTATCTGTTACACCTACCTTAAGGATAAAAAACACTTCTAGACCTACCTTGACTATAGGTGTAATAAATTCCTCAACAAAATTGTGTCTGAGCAGGCTGGGCCAGAAGTGGTGAATAAAGTTAATGAGAAGACCTTTGATGTGGGAGCCATCCTGGTCCTGATCAGTCATGATCATAAGTTTGCCATAGCGCAGTTGGTTTAGTTTACTAGGATCATCATAGTTTTCTTTAAAGTGCAGACCTAGAATTTTGATGATATTGTTAATTTCAGCATTGTCCATGATCTGCCAAAGAGAAAAAAAATGTTAGTCACTCAGAAAAGTTTGCTGTCTAGGGATGTGTAGTGGATCAGTTACTTGTGGTTATCTAGTCATGTGACTAAATCAGCCAAGTGTTGTCTGATGTGACTAAATCAGCTAAGTATTGTCTGATGTGACTAAATCAACTAGTGTTGTCTGATGTAACTAAATCAACTGTGCTGTCGGATGTAACTAAATCAGCTAAGTGTTGTCTGATGTGACTAAATCAACTGTGTTGTCTGATGTGACTAAATCAACTGTGTTGTCTGATGTGACTAAATCAACTGTGTTGTCTGATGTGACTAAATCAACTGTGTTGTCTGATGTGACTAAATCAGCTAAGTGTTGTCTGATGTGACTAAATCAACTAGTGTTGTCTGATGTGACTAAATCAACTGTGTTGTCTGATGTGACTAAATCAGCTAAGTGTTGTCTGATGTGACTAAATCAGCTAAGTGTTGTCTGATGTGACTAAATCAGCTGTGTTGTCTGATGTGACTAAATCAACTAATCACCTGTTTGTGGGTGGCCTCTCGCACATTGAGCAGTTTACCCCTCAGAGGAAAGACACCATATCTGTCTCTTCCAATGACACCAAGACCTGCCACAGCCAATGATTTGGCTGAGTCTCCCTCTGTTAGAATCAGTGTACAAGAATGAGAGTTCTTTGTTCCAGCATCATTGGCATCATCCAACTTGGGGATACCCTTCAGTTTACTATGCTTAGAGGAGTGACACTTCTGGTTGAGTTGAGCCTGGGCCTTGAACTTCATCCATGACAAAATACTTTCCACAATACCACACTTGCTCACCTGTGGGATATAGCATCAGTTTCAACACATGGACAGTACAGGGATCAAATCTAGATCCTCAAGATGTTTTGGTAAGTTGTAATGTGACTTGGATAGAATAACAAAGTGCTAATAACATGAACTTAACATTCTCTATTGGCATCAACACATGGACAGTACAGGGATCAAATCTAGATCCTCAAGATGTTTTGGTAAGTTGTAATGCAATTTGGATAGAATAACAAAGTGCTTATAACATGAACTTAACATTCTCTATTGGCATCAACACATGGACAGTACAGGGATCAAATCTAGATCCTCAAGATGTTTTGGTAAGTTGTAATGCAATTTGGATAGAATAACAAAGTGCTTATAACATGAACTTAACATTCTCTATTGGCATCAAACAACATGCTCCAGCCTACAGATAAAATACTTTGGGTGAATGAGACAACCACAAACAAAAACTAAGGCACCGTCGGTTGCATAGCACTAGAAAGGGTTTATAAATAAAGGTGCCATTAGTTAAGGGGGAAGGCTCCGGTAAAAAAAAACTTTTTTAATACTCGTTAGAAAACAGTTATTTCTTTATAGTTTTATTAAGATACATCCGCATATGCATTTCCACTTTAAAAAATTGGTGGAAAAATCTTGGTAACTATGACAACGGCGGCCATCTTGGAAAATTAACCCCTTCGTAGGTTTTCCACCATTCATAAAATATTACATTTTAAGCACAATAAACAATCAATTCATAATCTTCTTCCATATTTTGGGGTAATCAGCTAAAAATTTTAAGTGCATATCTTCAAACTAATTTTTTATGAATTTTCAAAATATGTGTCCGTTCAAAACACTTAACTTTGGGGAATTTTGGGGCATGAAAATGTAAGCTGACATTAAGCAGTATTTAGATTTCTAGATGTAGCCTAGAGACTAGTTATATATAGCTAGAGTTTTACTAAATACTATACCTATGCTTGTATGTATGATACTGTATATAATGTTATTAGACTTTTTATTTTATATATATGTTCCTCTTCTTGGCTTCAAATTCCTCTTTTTAGGTATGCCTGTTCCTACTTTAGGTTGCAGGGGTAGGCATGTCTGGTACTATGTATTGGGCATGAATGGAGAAAAGAGGATGGAGAAAAGAGGATGGAGAAAAGAGGATGGAGAAAAGAGGATGGAGAAAAGAGGATGGAGAAAAGAGGATGGAGAAAAGAGAATGGAGAAAAGAGGATGGAGAAAAGAGAATGGAGAAAAGAGAATGAAAAAATCATAAAAGATCTGGTCACCTGCTGTATGAACTTCTCAGACAACTGACATTTAGAACCAAATCCTTTGGCCTGTTTGGTCATGTTTTCTTTGGTCTGTGAGTCAAAAGTTGGGTTTTCTATAAGGCAGCTGACGAAAACCCAAAGGTGGTTCTTCACCTAAACAACATCAACACGGCTGAGGTTAGGAAAAACTGTCAATATATGTGTTCAACTAAGTTTCAAAGTGCTGTCAATTTATGTGTTCAACTAAGTTTCAAAGTGCTGTCAATTTATGTGTTCAACTAAGTTTCAAAGTGCTGTCAATATATGTGTTCAACTAAGTTTCAAAGTGCTGTCAATTTATGTGTTCAACTAAGTTTCAAAGTGCTACGATCAAACTGTCTTCAAAAACCTGAAATGGTTTGATGTTGATTCCTCCTTTATTTTTTCTCCTCACAACCTCAATTAACTTGGTAACGCATTGATCAGCAATATATTCAACATGACGACCTCCCTAGAAAGAAGTATTGGGGCAAGTTAAAGAGCGTGATCAATGGAAACGTTACAAAGGTCAGTTACAGAGCCCGTCCTACTTGTGAAGCTTACCTTGGTGGTGGCAATACTGTTGACAAAGCTCACTTGTTGGAATCCCCTATCACTCATGGCAACAGCAACTTCCCACCTGTCATTAGCCACTTCATGGACCAGCTTTAATGGAGCACCTGCATCATCAGTCTTGTCCTTGATGTACAAATCTATATAGTCCTTGAATCCTTTCACCTAAACAGACAACTTATTCTGTAAGTCAATTGTAACACAGTGCTGTCTTAAGCCTCTATTCCTGCTAATGTTACACATTCCTAAATTTTATGGAGCCAAAAAAGTTTTTACATGTAAACATATCTTTACCCTAAAATTAAAAACCTAATATAAAAGAAATGTGACCAGAAAAATAAAAAAAAGTAAAATTTCCTACTAGACTAGTGCTTTTTTTTTCAAATTTTCCTGATATAGTAGATGGAGAAGCTGTCACTAACCAATTTTTAAAAACTGATGAACTTTTTTATTTTCTACGGTGGGGGAAGGATGTGTGTGCAGTGAAGGAATCAAAGTTTTTCACACAAGTATAATAAATGTAAGCCTACATCAGTATTCTTCAGTGCATAGTCTTTCACAACAATTTACCTTTTCTTTTTAAATTAAAAAATAGAGTGAGAAACAAATAGTCTAGGTGGGTGAAAAGCTTTCACTTTCAGTTGTTTTTTTTTAAAGGAAAAAGCAGTTCCATATACACAGAAAAGTAACATGTATGCTGGACTGCTAACTTGTCGGTCTCGAGTTCAAATATGGGTTCAAGTCAGTAGACCGTCCCTGAGTCCACTCAGCTCTGATGGGTACCTAACTCAAATTAGGGTATGTAAAGGCGGTTGGGCATAGTGCTGTGAAGATGCAACCAATCGAATATGGGCAGCAGAACGGAAAAAATGGGTCTGCTGAAAAAATTTTGGATGTTTTTTTTAAGTTGGTTAGCTGGAAAAATATAATTTTTGCAGAAAATGTCCTTTTTTCCCCACAGTAGAAACTTTTCTCCCATATGAAAAAAGCAGATTTTCGGGAAAAAGTGGAAGGTTACATCTCGATATGTTGAAAACATGTAACTGAAAAATAATAGCTGAAAATTTCCGAGTAAGAATTAGATTCTAATGAAAAATTTGGAAATACCTGAAGAGTGCTAGAGAACAAAATGAAATTTTAGAAATGTGTAACTTAGACTCTCATTTAGACTTGTACAAGCTTCTGTATTACAAACAAACAAACATTTCCCCAGCACAGCTGGATTACTTCTCACCGGTAGCCGCTTCCCATTGAGGAAAACCTTGACACCTTTTGTGCTTGCAGCAATATCATAAGCTCTTCGTGTGAACAAGGCCACCACATCAGAGTCAAGCTTCTCCATTTTAAATTTCTCAAGGTCAGGGAAAAATGTAACAGATGTAAAATCAGTCTCCTTAGCATCAGTCAATGTAGGATCTTTAGTCTTGGACATATTGTCGGACCAGGTCTGAAACATAAGCAAAAAGACATGTTGCCTACAGTAGGAAAAAGCAGCTGCATTTATCTTTTACAAAAATTCCCCACTGTTATCAATCTATATATAATTCTCTTCATGGGGACCATAGAGGACACCACGCAGCCTAGCCACCACCCTAATCCCCACCTGCAGGTGAGCTGTGGTTCACCCCGAATGTTTACAATTATAGAGTCGGGTCGGCTATTAACGGTAGGGGCAGATAATTTAGATTTAAAAAGCGGAGGTATCAACAATATCTGCCATAACTATTTATTGACGTCTGTAAACTGTCATCATGGACGGCTGCTTTCACGGAGTTCACAGGACAGGTGGGAGTGGGGAGGGATGGTGAGGATAAATGTCTTTACCAGCTACTGAAAGTGTTTTAAAGCAAAATTGGTAGTGAATTATGAATTACTGAAAAGTAGAAAATAAAACAACTAACCAGCGACGTATGCTTACGCAGCGGGTCATCCTTTTTTTTTTAAATTCTCATTACCCAAACCCGATGAACACATAAAATAAAAGAAAGTTTTTTTACCATCCTTGAAACCAAATTTTTAAAATCTTTTAATCCTGAAATTTAATGCACCTTGAAATTTTTAAAAATAAAATTGACAATTACTGTTAGTGGGTTTTTTTTAAAACAACCTTTAAACAAAACTATTTAAAGATTGTGCACATAATCAAAATCAGTTTAAATTTAAAACCCATCTTGACCCCATAATGTAATAATATTAGTTTTAGTGAGCTTAGCTGGTGGTTGTAATATTTTAGACTAGATGATACAGAAAAGAATAGAAAATATGCTAGGGAAGTTTTTTTTAGCAGGCCTGCGTTATAAAGTGGTAGAAATGTACAATGCTGTACGTCTGTGTCTTTTAACATATTTATTTAGTTATTTAACTTTTAGCAATTTTAAACAGCAAATATTTTCCTAAGACAAGAAGTTGATAAAAAACATCACTTTTACATAAGGCATTGTATTTATACAGGGTATTAAGTTATTAAAAACTACATTTCTCAAACCCTATCTTCTCTTATTTTTACACCTCTTTCTCATGATGTGATGACATCAAGAAATAGAGCAATTCTTACAAATGTCAAACATCTCCTCCTAGAGATGTGTGATGTTATAGACTATAGAACAAATATTAATATCTGAATAGTGTTATTTTATTAAGCAACAAGTTGCTTTACTAAAAAATCATTTCAGGAACAGTCACGCTGATACTTTTGTTTGTTGTAGACCTATAGCACATTTGAGATTGTCAGCATTTAATATTTTCTATTAACCTATAGCACATTTGAGATTGTCAGCATTTAGTATTTTCCATTAACACAAGAAATAATGGTATTTGCTGAAAAAAAAAAGGCTGTGCATTATTAATAAAAAATTTTTTTGTATTTTTCAAGAAAAAACCATTTTGTGCAACCACATCTGCAACAGATCAGCCTTAGACTTCATACATAATGCTCTAGGATATAAACTAATATGGATTTTAAAAGATTGAATGGCTCACCTGCTTAAAAGCTTTTTTATACTCATTGGAAGAAGTCTCAACAATAAACTTCTTGCTGAAAATGTTACACAACTTGGCACCATAACCATTTCTACCACCTGCAAACACACAGTGCATTCATCAAACAGCAGACACTCTCAGTTCTGTAGCAAGAGTGACACCACATTTCAGAATACTTTAGAGAATTATCAGATCATTTTGCTTCACACCAATGAGTTTTTAAACCTGTCATTTGGTTGACTATTTAAATTGAGTAATATTCTTTCTTGCTTTATAATAATTTGATAATTAACTGCTTTTTTTATGACAGTAACCTATGACTATTTCTTGTTCTTCCACAATACTTTGCAGATCAGATTCAATTCACAAGGCAAAACTAAGGTAGATTAACTTCACACTAATCGGGGGGGGGGGGGGCATGTAAATAACAAGTACCAGATAATATAACTAATTTTAACGACCTGAATGTAAAATTGTACACCAAGTTTGCTTTAAGAAAAAGTGCTAATTTTTGCTGGTCATGATTTTTATTGTTACGGAAGGGTAAAAGGGTATTATCGTAATATAATATTGTTAATGTGTCCAAATCATAAAATTACTAAAGTACAAATAGGCAGCCCTGTTAAATATAGTCTACTTACAAAGGTTTTTTCCAGTTTTAAAGGTAAAATAAAAATTTTAAGGAAATATTTACATAAATGTCAACACTTGTTTTAAAGAGAATTAGCCCTCAAAAACCTGTTATACTTATTTCTTAATGACCCAAAGTTATTTTTTTTGACAATCTATGTTATAGATCCTGGATAACTTATGTGAAATGCTCATTGGGAAGTAACTGAAAAAATATGAAGTGGACAGGCTAAAATGCTTTCCAATCTTCTAGGGAATATTGTAGAAAAAATATCTAATATTAAACATGAAAAAAAAAAAAAGATTGTTTATCATAAAATGTCACAGATGATAATATATTTTGAACAATTTGACAGAAACATGTAGCCTAAAGGTCACATCATAATTTAACAAAAGAACGTACCAGTAACTTTTTTCTCATTGTCATCATAGTTACTGGAGGTAAGAAGATGACCAAAGATCAATGTGGGTACAAACATCTTCTCTGTTTTGTGCTCAACCACAGGAATACCTTTCCCATTGTTCCAGATTTTTATTTTGTTACAATCTCTGAAGAAGTGACAATAATTAGTGGGCCAGATACTACCTACTATATGGAAATAAAAATGTCAAAATACACTTCAATAAAAAAAAATATAACATACGGGTCAATCTCAATTTTAATACAGTCCATCTTGGGATCTCTCTGTTTGTTGTCTGCAGCATTCACTGAAAAAAAATGTCATAGTTACTGTAAGCAGGTAATCTCAAGTAAGCTGTGCTGTTCTAGCATGTCATTTACTGTAAGCAGGTAATCTCAAGTAAGCTGTGCTAGCATGTCATTTACTGTAAATGGGTAATCTCAAGTAGGCTGTTCTAGCATGTCATTTACTGTAAATGGGTAATCTCAAGTAAGCTGTGCTAGCATGTCATTTACTGTAAATGGGTAATCTCAAGTAGGCTGTTCTAGCATGTCATTTACTGTAAATGGGTAATCTCAAGTAGGCTGTTCTAGCATGTCATTTACTGTAAATGGGTAATCTCAAGTAGGCTGTTCTAGCATGTCATTTACTGTAAATGGGTAATCTCAAGTAGGCTGTTCTAGCATGTCATTTACTGTAAATGGGTAATCTCAAGTAGGCTGTTCTAGCATGTCATTTACTGTAAATGGGTAATCTCAAGTAGGCTGTTCTAGCATGTCATTTACTGTAAATGGGTAATCTCAAGTAGGCTGTTCTAGCATGTCATTTACTGTAAATGGGTAATCTCAAGTAGGCTGTTCTAGCATGTCATTTACTGTAAATGGGTAATCTCAAGTAGGCTGTTCTAGCATGTCATTTACTGTAAATGGGTAATCTCAAGTAGGCTGTTCTAGCATGTCATTTACTGTAAATGGGTAATCTCAAGTAGGCTGTTCTAGCATGTCATTTACTGTAAATGGGTAATCTCAAGTAGGCTGTTCTAGCATGTCATTTACTGTAAATGGGTAATCTCAAGTAGGCTGTTCTAGCATGTCATTTACTGTAAATGGGTAATCTCAAGTAGGCTGTTCTAGCATGTCATTTACTGTAAATGGGTAATCTCAAGTAGGCTGTTCTAGCATGTCATTTACTGTAAATGGGTAATCTCAAGTAGGCTGTTCTAGCATGTCATTTACTGTAAATGGGTAATCTCAAGTAAGCTGTGCTGTTCTAGCATGTCATTTACTGTAAATGGGTAATCTCAAGTAAGCTGTGCTGTTCTAGCATGTCATTTACTGTAAATGGGTAATCTCAAGTAAGCTGTGCTAGCATGTCATTTACTGTAAGCAGGTAATCTCAAGTAAGTGTGCTAGCATGTCATTTACTGTAAATGGGTAATCTCAAGTAAGCTGTGCTGTTCTAGCATGTCATTTACTGTAAATGGGTAATCTCAAGTAGGCTGTGCTGTTCTAGCTGTTATTCAACTAGAAATAGAAACAAGCAACAAAAACAAACAGCATTATTTGGTCTAAATATTAAAAGTAGTAGCTAGTGTTAAAGAGAAAAATGAGTTCCTATTCTCTCTTTGTGCTGTGAGTTCTCATCTGTCACATGGACATCATCCTGTTTGTCCTAGTCTTCGTACTGGTATAGAAGGACAAGGAGTGACAAATTCATCAGAAAAAAGAAAGGCATAGGAAATCCATACCCACCTAAAATTTCATCAAATATCTTGTAAAGTCCAGGAACAAATGTTATATCTTTTTGCACCATCTTGTTAGCCTCCACATCCATCACCCACATTGACTAGTCCATTCAAAACATTAATAAAATAAGTTAAGAATATTCTTACAGTTATGAAGAGCACTAAAAATAAGGAAAAGAACTACTTTCACTTCACTACAGATAGGCTGAAAAAGATACACTGTTTCAATCTTATAACAATGTTTCATGGTCATTTCAACAACACATACTTATAATCGTTATTTTTGCACAGTTAATCAACGAGTGAGACTGTTATAGTTTTAACCATAGACGATTGTGTTTAATGTAAACCTAGCAATTCGTATATTTTTTTGGCCTCATAGTTGAAAATAGCGAGCAGAACTATTTTGACAACACTAAAACTCATGACAAATAGAAAATTATATATTACGTCTTACTCAACTAATTTCATAAATTTAATCAGGGTAAAAGAAAAATTCATTAGAAGCATAACTTAATCCAGGCAACAGCAAACTTAAGTCCGTCCATTTTGCCTGCTGTGTAACTGAGTGGGACAAAATCTAGCAGAAGACATTTCTGCTGGACAGTCAACAGCATCATAAAAACACTCCTTAAAACAGTCATAACATCATAACCATGTAAAAACAAACGGGTTTTTTTCTTCAAAAAATCATTTTCTAGGCTACCAATTAATTTCGATAATTAAAATTGATAGGTGACAAATTAATTAAAGGTAAATAAATGTAGTTTGAACAAAAAATAGAGTTACAAATCTTCGGGGCCACCCTACACTGGCTACACTACAAAGCTTAGTTTCAGCACATACCTGTGTAACAGTTTCAACAGAACCAATGTAGGTGTCAGGTCTGAGAAGAATATGCTCCAACTGAGTTTTTTTCTGGTAAATTCTTTCCACAGAGAGGCGTTTATCATTTTTTGGTGGTAAAGTTTCATCAACCTCCATATAATCTACCTCAGCGCTAACAGCCTTTGCATTTATTCCACTGGCTTTGGAAGCATTTGACTTTTTAGTCAGTGCTGCATCTGTTTTAGCTTGCATGTTGTCAAAAAGTGTCTAAATTTAAAGAATCAAAGCATGTAAAATGTAAGCTAATGTAGGCCTATATTTAGTATAGATATATTCTGATAATTAATCTAAAAATAAACAATAGAGCATAAACAGGCCTAATAAATCTAATAAATTTTAAAAAATGATGAATAAATTGAACAAGCTAACACTCAAAACACATTACAATGACCCTTAGATCATCTAGATCAGGGGTCTCCAAACTACGGCCCGCGGGCCGGATGCGGCCCGCGAGGTCCTCTCATCCGGCCCGCGGAGATCATTTTGTCCACGGAAAAAACGTTTGTTGTTGATGGCTGAAGAACTTTGCCCAGAAAAATCAAAGACATGCCTGGAAGAAACTGGCCCCCGAACTGAAATTTTATAGTTAATGCGGCCCTCGGACTGAAAAGTTTGGAGACCCCTGATCTAGATCTATAATTAGATATTTTAGCAACAACAATATGATTAACACCCTGTCAAACAAATACTATTTGAAAAGATGGGCAACCAATATATACTAGTATTTACTATTGTCAAAAAATGTCAGAGTACTCTGAAGCCTAATCTTAAAATGTGTAGATTGACTATAGTTTTGGATTTGTGGTAAAATGAGCCTATGAGCATCTTGCTAAAAGGTTAGGTTTAAACATAGATCTAGAAATATAGATTCTATAACTCACAGAAAATGTCAAGGTTAAATTTTACACTACTTCAACAAGAAAAAAGGAGCGTCCGCTAACAAAGTAGCTATTTTAGTAGGGTGTTGAGAAATTGCAAGACGCGAAATGGCGTGGCGGTAAACTGCGAGACATACCAGCGGAATCACAGGTAAACAACGAGACACAGTTTGGTAAAAAAAATGTGTTTCATGGTTTTTTAATTGTTTTTTTAAAGCTATAAACTAAAGAAGCTGATATATCACGAAAGTTGTGTTATTCTTTTTTTTTTAATCTCTAGTTTTGATTTTTTATATATAGGCCCTATATAGATCTCTATATTACAAAATCTTAACATCCTATGACCGCCCGCTCTAGTTTTCTTGTCAGCGGGAGAAAAAAACCAGTCTCTATAGACGGGTCAGTGTGAGTTCATAAAGAGAATATAATTTTAGACTATATTTTAGAACTCTATATCTTCTTCTGCCTTCAATCAGGAAAAGAATTGGGCAAAGGTATGTCCACTAGTAGGGCCTATTAGATCTAGATGAAATAATAATGTAGTGTGTAGTAACCAGATCTAATCAAGATAGATCTTGGTAAAACCATAGTTTAGCGTTGTAAATTCGGCCAAAACTAGTAATGTGGGAGAGTGAATTAATAAATGTCATTAAATAGTATATTTTCGTATATTTTGATAAAATATTATAGATAATTGAATAATAATGGTTAAATCAATTTAAATACCCTGAAATTAATTTTTATCAATCCTGTTCGAGATAGTAAATTTTCTATTTTTCATTTTGAATGCATTGTGCATTTTTTCACTTTTCGATACGACTGACGGCCAGGAGCGCCTCGGTTAGAAAATGTAGTCTAGTTCTATACAGTGGGAGCTTAATACATTTTTAAAGTGCCGAAAGTATCAAGACAGCAAGCTTGCAGAAATAACCATGTATGTTTAAATGGACGAGGGATAGATGTGTGAGAGGCTGTTTAATTGAACACCAACATAAGTAATCAAATGAAACGCCACAAAAGTGTCAAAACGGCAGTGCTTGTTTTTTTTTCTATAAAATTAGCCAAACGGTCGGCAGTACCGGTACATGACGTCATGCGAGAGCATTAACTCTGTGACATTGTGCTTAAGTGGGGGAATGAAAAGGTGGGGTTCAAGAAATGTGACTCTGCATGCTTTTTACATTTCTTGACCTTTCTAAATAGTAATATCGTCCCCACTGAGAAAATGGATCACCAATGAATGACGCGTCATACTTCTACAGCCGGTCTTTCTCCCACAACCATCCCGTTTTCAGAAAAAAAAACCTGACCCATCTCAAAATCACATTCACAATTTCTATCTGAAACAATATGCTCATGTTTGTTCTGTAATAATGCACGCTGTCATTACTATCTTAAGAGCGACGTCATTTATGGGCGATCTAATAATTTGGTTTTTTGCAACAAAAAAAAAGTGTTTAAAAGTTCGCCCTCCCAACAATTGTTGTGGTCTTGTATGCACACTATTAAGTCTGAAAAGTTCTATTAGTCATTCATGTCAACTATATAGAAAAAAAAAGAAAAATTACTATACAGGCATATATTAAAACAATACAAAACAACCATATTAAACCACAAAATCAACGCAACCCAACAGACATGCGAATAGACAATTTTTCGAGGGAAACTACTCTATTGTTGTTTTTGAAAAATGGCCGCTGCTTGTATTTACTCAGTGTTGTCTCGAACGGGGTAGTTTAAAGTTTATTCCAGGATATTTTTGACTGGTTTGGTCTTGGATTGTGATTTGTTATTCAATTATCTGTTATATTATGTAAAATATGTCATAAATATGGCCAAATGAAAGAAATATTCACTAGTTACCTCCATCGCACATTACTAGCTACGTTGGAATTTACTACGCTAAACTAAGGTTTTACCTAGATCTAGATTAGATATATAGTATAGATTCTAGATCTCTATTCACTCTAGCCACTAGATCTAGTCTTGTATTCTAGAAGGCCTAAGAATAGTCGACAATATATTGTTGAGAGTGTCTATTGGTACTTCACTACAAATAGCCTTCAGAGGGCTATTCGTACTTCGCTATTTTTAGCCGACCAATCAAATTTATTTTTAAATTCATTGTCCTGCAGCTTGTGTATGAGATTCAAATTTTGTAACTTGTCGTAACTGTACCGGTGGTCGAAGTGGTTGCGCATTGACTTATTAGTTTTCCGAGGCGTGGGTTTGATTCCCGCTGGCTCAGTGTTTTTTTTATTATTTTTTTGCTTTTTTAAAAAAAAATTTCTTAAGGATTAGGGTTTAGCATTAGGGTTAGGGAGATCTAAAAAATAATTAGTTATAGATCTATACAGCTTGTAAAAGATGAAAAAGGGAATTCAAGAATTAAAAAACAATGCTGCACGTAGATTGGTCAAAGTACGAATAGCCTTCATAGGGCTATTTGTAGTTAAGTACGAATAGCCGCAGCCATATCGTTTTAGGTACGCAAAATCGCCTGCGGCTAGTAATGTACGAAAAAGTTACCCCATTGTCAAGGCTTTAATAGAAGTATATTGTGCGATATATTTGTGTCAAATATTAGGCCCTATAGATAAATAACTAATGAACCTAAATCAATGGCTAAATATATCAATATGCCTATAGGCAAGAAATTAACTGTAAACAGCAGTGTTTGCGAGCAGGATTTGCTATATAAAAAGTGGCCATCTGTAAGTTAGAGTGGCTTCCCCTGAATTTTACAAGTTTATTAAATGAGCATGGTTGCATCTGTTGGAAACATCGCTAGTCTTTGTTTATTACTGAAAATTTTGTATTCAATTGTTTAAAAACAGGTACATAAATGAAACAAGGAAACATTTTTTAATTTAAAAAACATAAATCCTCCTCAAAATGTGAAATAACGTTTAAAAGTTAAGGACTCTCCGTTTTTTCACATTACAAGTCGCGGGCGATTTTAGGTGCATAAAACTAAAACTATACATTAGCGAATAGTCATCTTGCTAATCTAGAACTAGATCTAGATCTAATTAATTATTACGAGCCGACCCGCTGCGTATCATACGCCGCTATTTAGTTGTTTTTTTTTCTACTTTTCAGTAATTTATAATTTGTGAATTCGACAGTACCAATGCTGCCACTGAAAATATTTGCTTAAAAACACTACCCCCCCCCCCCCCACGTGAAAGGAGCCTCCTCTTAGTTACCTCCTCTAAGTTTAAAATCGTTTCAAACTAAATTATCTGCCCCTAATAGCCGTCACCAAACCCATCACTATGATTGTAAAATGTAAACAGCGTGACCACAGCTCACCAGACAATGTGGGGGTGGTAGGGATAGTGATAGTGATAGTGATAGAGAGAGGGGACTGCAAGGAGGCGCTTGCAGCTTGTTTTCTAACGGCTCCCAGAAGAGAATTAGAGCAAATTACACTGTCCGGACACACACCACGAAAAAACGCAACTTAAAACTTCCATGCGGTCTCATTCAGTAACCGCTTAACATAGGAAGGAAAAAAAAGTATCATATCTATCCGCAATCATTCTACTTTAATAATGTGTGTGTCATTTTGTATTCATACGCATAGAACTTTAGCTATTCTTGTTATAGTGACTGGGGGGTCTTAACATGTGTTCGGACACATGTAATACAATTTCAAATGTGTTCAGACACCTTTACCCGTCATCGGACAAAGCACTTTTTGTTCATTTAGAATAATTTAAAGTCAATTTAATGAATAAAAACATATATTATATGCATTTATATTGTGTTATTGATTGTTTGTGAGGTAATTTTAATAGTATAAAACCTTTTTCCCACACTCCCAAAGTTCATCCCATTCAGCCATTGCGGCTCGCGCAGTACGCTGCTAAGCCAGCCAGGTCACATGATTCCCCCTCCTCTTTCGCATTCCACTGCCTTCTTGACCTTATTTTGACCCTTTCCCTTCAATAACCAGCCCCTTTTATGCTCTAAATTCTTATTTAATAATATTTTTGTGTTGCTGTCCGGTCCCATGTAAGGTCAAAAAAGTTAGCGAACACCCCTTTTTTATTGTTCAAGCACAAAATAACCCATTAACCTTGACATTTACGATGTTCCATACATATATAGAAGCTATTTATAGTGTAACCTTTTAGCTAAGCGTTGATTGGTTCAAGTTTTGCCCGTAAATCCAACCCTAGGTCACTTCATCCGGCTGGTGTAAAAATAGAAATGTGCGTACCATGCAACGTTAAAAATTTTCTAAAAATAATTCTTGAGAGAGGAAACGGAAGTACTTGACACGGAAGTGTTCATAAATGAACAGTTTACGTGCAGGCGCCGTGGTTTCGCATGAGACATGCTAATTAAAGTTTCTATGAGCCAAAAACCGACGAAGTGTTCGGTCCCACGTAGTGTTCGGACAATGTAATTTGCTCTATATATATTGATAGGGCCTACCTAATGATTAAATAATAAATAATATTAATGTCATAATCATTCTAGATTCTAGACGGTCTAGACTTTATTTAAATAATACTTTTACTTAGGCCTTCTGATTCTAGATCTAGATATTTATATAGATCTAGATTTAGTCTGGTTCTAGATCTACTAAATCTAGATCACGGTAGTAGATCTAGATAGAATCTAGATTCTAGATCTAGCTAGACTAGATTCTACTTCTAGATTAGAATTGATTAGATCTAGATCTAGACAGTCTAGACTAGATCTAGAGATCTAGATTTTTAGATCTAAATCTAGTTCTAGACTAGAGTCTAGACAAGACTCTAGATTACCAATTAGATTTTTTAATATCTAGATCTAGATTCTAGATCTACAGTAACAATATAGAATAGAATCTATTCAATAGATCTAGATCTATTAATTTAATAGATCTAGAATTTTAGTTTATGATTATGTTAGTGACTAGATCTAGAGTCTAGATATCTACTAATCTAGACTAGATCTAGATTTCTAGAACTAGAATCTAAACATTTAACATACAGTTCAGTTTTCTATTAATTAAACCTAGATTCTAGATCTAGTTTAGATCTAGATAGATCTAGAATATCTAGAATCTAGCCTATACTATTTACTAGTATTTAGAGTCTAGATCTAGAATCTAGTAACTACTTTAAACTAGAGTCTATTTACTATAACTATTTATTTTTATTAGCCTACCTCAGATCTAAATCTAGGTCAATTGACTTCAAAAAAGGCGCGTGCAGAGTTTTTTTTATAGAAGTCACGTGACAATGCGCTAAATAATTGTTAAAAACTGTCAAAATTTAGATCTAGATTTAGATCATCTAGACTAGTATCTAGGCTAGCCTAACGATAGAAATGATTTACCTTCCATTTTAATTCGTTTCCGCTTGCCATTTTTCGACTGGGGTATCTTAAAGTGATAAATAATTTACCAACAAAGGAATTTATCATCAAAATCCAATCGTTATCGTCCAATAGGGCCTAGTGTCAAAAATGAATGAATGATAGAAGAAAGAGAAATGTAAAAAGATGAATCGGCACTGGCCGATCTCATTAGGCTAGCGGCCAGTATTTTAGGACAAGAATCTAGATCTAGATTCTAGATTAGATCTAGCTTTGTTAACTTTATTTATTTTTTTTCCTTTAGGCGCCTAAGCCTTACTTTAAGACTTTAAGATCTAGATTCTAGAATCTAGATTAGATCTAGATTCGTATTTGTCTCAAATAGAATTTAATAATTTGAAATTGAATCACTATTCAAACACCGCATTATTTCGCCGAAAACTAGAGTTTATATACCTAAGTTTTTAGAAATTAGATCTAGAATCTACAAGCTAATCAAAAGTTCAGGTTAGGCCTAGGGTTTGCTCTCAAAATGAGGGTCTACAAGAACGGCGCCATTGTTAGCCTAAGGCCAAAACCTAGTCTCAACATACAAGGGAATGTTACTATTGGTTAAGGAGAAAACCTACTTAGCCAATCAAAACTTATTGTATTTGCATTTTTTTAAACTTTCATTTGGCCTAGGCCTAGCCACTAGGCCTAAAAACTAAAGTTGCGCAATGCCCGAATAAAAAAAAAAATTAAAAAATAAACCGTTTTTGTTAGGCTTAGAGGAACTAAGTAAACTAAAATAAACGGGGAGTAATCTCCCATAAACTATCTCGAATATTCTTATATAACACTACGGGGGATGACACCTCGGGATATACTAAGACATGATTTTTTAATCCATTTTTAATTACTTAAACTATTTAAAATCTCGTAGAAAAAAGAATTGCACACCAAATGAACGCCAAACAAGCTGTGTATAATAGTGCGGAATATTATTAGTCTACTCTACAAATAAAGCAATGTGTGTTTTTTCTGCATTACTACACCTCTCATTGTATCGCCGTGAAACTTTTTGAAGTTGTTGAGGATATTCCTGGGGAGGTTTCTGCGGGAAATTTTTTTTCAAATTTCTCTATATACGGTATATAAAAAATAAAAGTCGAATGCGGTTTCACACTGTTCATCCGATCGACATCAAACTTTGGTGAGTTGATTAGAACACTCCAGAGAAGGGTTCTGTAAAAACATCCTTTGTAATTTCGCAAGGGCCTCGCCCCAGACAGGTGCAATTTTTTTTCTTTATAGGGTATATAAAAATAAAAGTCAGTTGCGTTTGACATCGTTCATCCGATCGCCATCAAAGTTTGGGGAGTTGACTAAAACACTCAAGGTGAGGTTTCTGTAAAAAATCATTTTTAATTTCGCAAGGACGGCGCCCCTGGAGGATGCAATTATTCTTTATATAAGATATATTTTAAAAAATGAAAGTCGGATGCGGTTCGACACCGTTTATCCAAGTGCCATAAAACTTAAAGGGGCTGGATGAATACACCTGCGTTTTCTGGGGGTGACTTAATTTCGCACGGGCGGCCCCCGGTAGGATACGATTTGGCGCCCTGGTCTTTCCCTTGTATTCAGCGACTACGTTCGGTCTAAACAGTGTGATAGACAATGGATAAGATGTGACGTTATAGTCGCTCACTAAATTGAATCAGGCGTGGTAGCAGTGACGTAGCTACCGTAAAGCTAGCGTAAGCAAGGCATAGGGGCCCTTTTCCCTCTTTAAATTTTTAAAAACTTTTACATTGGAATTTTAATATTTGTTTTATAAAAATAATTTTATAAAGAAAACGGAAATCCAGTTTCTTTTCTACTGTAGAAGTAATCAAAAGTTCCAAAAAAAGGCCCACAGACCTTTCTTACTGGGGAGGGGTTGCACAGGGCCCATCTATATTAATAACATTACAGGCATTGTTGCATTGTCGGGCAAGCCGTTGAAAGAATTAGCTTATAAATAAACTTAATCATTTGACTCTTTTGTGAGATTAGCATCCGGCAAATTTATACGCATCGCTAAAAACTCTCTACCCCACCGCCACAAACCTGCACCCCCCCTGCCATCTCAACTTACTGTCCTCACTGAAATTCCACCCATCCATGATTTTAGGTTAACAGCCGTGGACTGTGTCTAAGTTGAAAATTTGTCAATGTTTTGTCTGTTATTTTTAACCTTAATCACAATTTGTTTGTTTGTTGATCTAATTTATCCAGAGGCGTAGCGGCCCTTCCCGGCGCCCGGGGACAGACTTTTCGATTTGAACACCCCCCCCCCTCAAGATTTCGATTTGCACCCCCCCCCCCTCAAACTTTCGATTTGCACCCCCCCCCCAAGATTTCGATATGCACCCCCCTCAACCTTTCAATTTATTTTTCCAACCCATTTTGGCGCCGCCTAAGGTCGGCGCCCGGGGACATATGTCCCCCACCCCCTCGCTACGCTACTGAATTTATCTCTAATCAATATGCCGCTACTTAAATATTTTTGTTTGTCTCATTGTCCTTTATGCATTGATAAAAAAATGTTGAGTAATGTCCCTTGCATGTTATGTTTCCGTTTCCGATGCAGAATAAACAAGGTACAATAAAAATGGCTTCCTCGTCTGTTGTATTATCTGTCTAGATAACAATCCACTTCACCCCACTCTAAGAGAAGCCAGAAAGAAACTCTGACTCCTGCAAAGTTTTTCTGCCATTAAATATTTTTTATTTCGTTCGGACAGCGGCTCAGTGACAGTAATGCGGTTCAGTTTGCCACCGAGAGTTTCCCAGCGGCTTTCTTAGCACCTGGGGTCAGTTAATTAGGTATCCTGCAACGGTCAAGCTGCACAGGTGAATCAGCCGGCGCCATGGGCTCCCCCCGTGAGCACTACGGCGCATACACTTATTTTAATGAGCGCCATGCCCTAGGTGTAATATAGTGAGACTTGTGAAGTCAAGGGAACTCACTCTTCTTGTATTAGTATTATATTTATACTGTTATCTTGAGTGATGTCCCTTACATGTATATATATCTTTGTCTCTCGTCACTTCCGCTCTCTCTCGTTCCATCATGTAGTTGAAAGGCCAATAAACGTTTTATATACAAACAGCATGGCTTCTCGTCAGTGTGTTATAATAGAACAACTCCAATCCACCTCAATTGGCGACGAGGATAAATGATCCACTAGAAAGAGCACCTACTTACTCAAAAAGAGGTTTGCTAGAGCATATTGGCTAAGTATTTCTAGAATAATGGCGCTGTATGGCCAAATAAAAGAATTTGATTCGAATGATGAAATCATTCATGATTATCTAGATAGGTTAAGCTTTTACCTTGAAGCAAACGACGTGACGATAGAAGCCAAAAAGAGAGCTGTTTTGTTAACAGTCATAGGGCCTCAACAATTTAGGCTGCTAAAGGACTTATGCGCACCAGCTAGTCTAACTACCAAGAGCTTTAACGAGCTGAGCAAATTGCTAACAGACCACCATGCGCCCGCACCATTAAAGTTCCTGTCTAGAGCTAGATTTGACAGTAGGACTCGTCAACCAAACGAGTCAATATCAGAATATGTTGCTGCTTTACGTCATTTAAGTAGATTCTGTGAATTCGGAGACACGCTGTCTGGCAGACTATGTGAAAAGTTTGTGACAGGTGTAAACAGCCCTGATGTTCAAAGAAAGTTGCTGCTCGAGTCAGATCTAACATTGGAAAAAGCAATACAACTTGCAACTTTATTCCAGCAGTCATCCGATGCAGCAAAATCTCTAACGCCTTCAGAGATCCATGCAGTAAACAGCAGGTTAGTCAACAAACACCAACCCCATCAGAGCATTCCAACTTATGCTAAACAGCCTGCACGTTTAAAGCCTAGATCTAAATCTAGTAATAATTATCAAAAATGTCATCGATGCAAAAGTCCCCATGCATCTCATCGGTGCAAGTTCAAGTCTGCAACTTGTTATAAGTGCAGTAAGCAAGGTCACATTGCCAAGGCCTGCTTTGCAAAGTCTTCGTCTGTTGCTAAATCTAGCCAGTCAAGACAGTACCGCAACCAAAGGCAGCACTATGTTAACTCTCACCAAGACTACCTAACCCAACCAATGAACCACTCTACCTGTGAAAATGCTCAAACTGATTCGCAACCGGATTTCAACCTGTTCTCTGTGAAATCAATAAGTCATGCTCCCATCAATGTACTAGTTTATATCAACGGTTAGAGCATCAGCTTCCAACTTGACACTAGAGCATCTCTAACAGTCATCACAAAGAAGGACTTTGACGCTGTCACAGGAGGATCAGTGCCTCTACAACCATGTCACAAGTGTCTAACAACATACACTGGTGACAATGTTCCGGTAATAGGAGAGTGTATGGTTCATGTAAGTTATAATGGTCAAAGTGTTAAACTTCCTCTTCTTGTGGTTGAAGGAAATGGACCACCATTACTAGGTAGGAACTGGTTAGTTGATCTTAAGCTAAATTGGGAGAGTATATGTTCATTGAACAATGCAAGAGAATCTAGTCTTACTTCAATAGATAAAGTTATATCTGAAAATAAATGTGTTTTTGGTAATCCTGGATTACTAAATGATAGAACAGTGAAGATAAGCATTAAAGACACAAATCCAAGATACTGCAAAGCTAGAGTTCCACCTTATGCAATGAGGAATAAAATTGAAAATGAGCTAAGTAGATTGGAATCTAATGGCATCATAAAGAAGGTAGACTATTCCGATTGGGCAACGCCCATTGTGCCAGTGTTAAAGAAGGATGGTTCTGTAAGAATTTGTGGAGACTATAAAGCTACACTGAATAAGTAAATAGAGCTAAATAGGTACCCTATTCCTAACATTGAGGAAATTTCTTTGAATTTGGCAGGAGGAGACAAATTCACTGAATTAGACTTTAGTCATGCTTACACTCAACTAGAACTGCATCCAGATTCAAAAGTCTATACGACAATAAACACACATAAAGGACTCTACCAATATGAAAGACTATGTTTTGGCATATCATCTAGCCCTGGAATTTTCCAAGCTGTCATGGACAGTATTTTTAAGGACATTCCAAATGTTGTGTGTACTTTGACAATGTGTACATAACTGGTAAGAATGACACTGAACATCTTAAAACACTAGATAAAGTCTTGAAAATAGTTGGTGAAAAAGGTTTAAAGATAAACAAAGATAAATGTCAATTCATGCTGACAGAAATTAGTTTTCTTGGTTATATATTAAGCAAGCAAGGTATCAGACCTCAACCTGAGAAAACAAAAGCCATTAAAGAAGCACCCAAACCTGAAAATACCCAACAACTAAGAGCTTTTTTGGGCTTGATAAATTACTATGCAAAGTTCATAGGGAATCTGTCTGGTAAACTATCACCACTGTACAAGCTGCTACAGAAAAATGCAACTTGGCACTGGGGTAAACAACAAGAAGCTGCTTTTAATACAGCAAAAGAAGCTTTGTCTTCTGACACCTTACTAACTCACTATGACCCAGGGAAAAGACTTATATTAAC